ATGCTGGGACTCACTCCTGGGCTGGTCGTGGTGGAAAGTACTGAGGAAGAACAGAGTTTGTACATACAGTTAGTAGGAGACAACTGTGCATCGACCTGGTGGAGAAGGAGCCAGGTAGAGGAGGTCCGTGGTCCGGAGAAGCAACAGAGGTGAGGAGGAATGAAACAATGGAAGGCCTGGTCGTGGTGGAAAGTACTGAGGAAGAACAGAGTTTGTACATACACTTAGTAGGAAACTGTGCATCGACCTGGTGGAGAAGGAGCCAGGTAGAGGAGGTCCGTGGTCCGGAGAAGCAACAGAGGTGAGGAGGAATGAAACAATGGAGCTAAAGACTGGAACAGAGCTAGGGCGACAAAACGTGAAGATAATGCTATAGACAACGAGAAACAAACGGGCCTGAAGATACTAGAAAGAACTGGCAGGGGAGTGAACGTAGAGCACGGAATAAATAGGGAGAACCAATCAGGTGCAGCTGGTGGTAATCAGGGGATATGAAGCAGGTGTGTCGGATAACGTAATCAAGGTAAGGGAGCAAAAACAGAGTGAGGGAAGTGAGAAGGCAGGCGCAGCCGGGCAAACCTGACAAACAGTTTGTCATTTTTCATTTATTAATACTAACAAACATCACATTTGGACTCTGGCAGTGGCACCAGGTGTGGCCAATCAGACTCCGGTGGTGGCCGGTGCCACTCCTGGCCACCCCTCGGCTCTGCCAATGACACCATCATGTCCTTCATGTCAGCACAGAAGAAAAATGCCATCATGGCTTCAGTGAGTCCCAAACAAAATGCAGAGCTCATTCTCCAACCAGAAGCAGTTGTATCTTTAACTAGCGGAGCGAGCAGCTGTCCTTAACCCAAACCTGCTCAGCCCCATTACAGCAGGCCTGCACACAAACACTGATGTCAATTCCAGTCATATTTTTTGATTTCCCACAACCAGTTCTTTCACTTTCTTTCAGGATTCTATTCCAGTGATGCCAAAGTCAGCGTTTATCCATGTAACTGTTAGAGGTTTGGTTGGTGTGATCATAGGGAAAAGATTCTTTAAACAGATGAACTGAATATAATGGAATATACTTCAGTTCAAAGGTTTTACCATTTTTGGACTGATTAACCATTGGCCTTTACCCAATATGCCTGACTCAATAAAAAGCTTTTGATATAAGATCTCTCCTTGCTCTGAATAACACTGCCTGAAGAACATTTTCTTTTTTATGACCAGTCATTCATCTTCAAGAACACCTAGAGATTCCCTGGACTTACTTTTGAAAGTGACTCAGCACTTAGCCTCTATGTTCTTTTTAATTCTGATTAATTGTAGTGCCCCTGTATGTAGTGTAATGGTAATAATAATAATAATAATAATAATAATAATAATAATAATTACCCTCATTGTCATTTTTTAGTTTTCTTAGTCTTCTGTGAAAGTAAACTGAAAATCAGGGGTTTTGATATCAACATGTTTTAGATACTTCTTTATTTATTGACATTTTACAGACTAAATCATTAATAGATTAAGTGAAAAAAATAGTCTGTGGTCACTGGAGTCATTAAACTAGCCCTGTTTTTAACACCTAAATGAATCACCAGTGGACCAGTCATTATACTCAAGCTTTGCAGCCAAATATTGTTCCCAACCTCAGGTCATTTTAATAGGTAGCGGTGACTGATCACAGTCACCTTGACCTCTCCCCTACCCTGCTCTTCACTGCCTTCCCCAGTTTCACCCTCTTCACTCTGTTGTTTCCCCTTTGGCACTTTCACTTTAAAAGCAGTTGCCCCCTGATGAGGAAGATCAACAGGTCACCGACTCCATCCTCGTGATCATGCTGCCCAATGATATCATTGATTTCTCTGAGATCAATCTTGTCAGCTGCCGTTATGCTCTACACCACCAAAGATAACTGGACATGAAGAAGAAAGGAGGAAGAGGAGGAGATTCCAGCATGTTATGTAAGTCGCAGGGAAGACTTTTCACAAGGTAACAACAACATCGTGTGGAACACAAGTCCACTTTTCGGCTAAATTTGCCCATCGTGTCAGAGGCCGCCTGTGCTGATCTGCCAGGGAGAGCTTTTCAGAGGAATGAGCTCTCTCATAGCTAGAGGGAGCTGCATGACGTCAGTCACCATTCAATGTGTTTCAGTTTTGTTTGTTACACACACTAATGTTTGAAGCAATTTTTTTTTTACCCAGATGAATGCTTGCATAGATGCCTAGCTCTTAAGATAAACTTTTGGAGCAAGGCAGAGGTTGATCACATGGCTGTTGAGCCCAGAATCACAGCCAGGGATTCAGTCAAAGTGGTGGGAGGAAAGGATGGAGAAGGGAGAGAGAGAAAGACAAGGCGAGGGGGGCAAAAGCGAATGAGGAGTTTCTATTTCAAATCTGCCCGGACCCCCGAGGGACTTCCGTTCTGGTTGCACCCTCCACCAAAATAAGTAATTTCCATCAGAGGAGAAACTCTGACCATTCAGTGCTTTTTCTCATCCAAAACAAACTCACATAAGCTGTCCTGACAAATCCTCATTCAGTGCAGTTTAAAATGACCACCAGACACACAGATTTGACAGGCTACCAAATCAAAATCTCAAAGGCAAAATTAAATAGACCCATTGGAAATGGCTCAGTTAATAATAGAAATCACATCTCTTTCCACTCCTAGTGGCAAACTTGTTTTTCATGCTCTTTATATAACATTTTTATTATGTTGTTCCATGAAGAAACTGCTTTGTAAATGGTATTTCCTCACACACTAAATCCTCTGCAAAGACTACAAAATGCCTCTAAAAGGAAGCCTCGAGGAAAACACAATAGAAATACAGTATGTTTCTGCAGTGTAGCTACAACAAATGCACCACTCAGGTTTGTTAGTTCCGTGTCTGTCACACAGATCAATAGGTAGTGCTCTTCCATGGGCTGCTGAACTTTTACCCCTGTCTCAGTCGCGCACGACGTTCATCCTTGTGCACCAGAGCTCACGCCGTCTTTATTTTCTTGCACTGCTGTGCGAACAGACATTTATTATGAACAAACTGCTTACGTCAGATGACAATCAGGAGGAAGAACATTTACGTCGACGGTGAAAAATTAAAAGCCCCCAAAAGACTGGTAAACGATGACGGTTTGGAGCAGAAGATGGTGTGCGTGTGTATATGTGTGTGTGTGTCTGTGTGTGTGTGTGTGTGGGGGGGTTAATAAAATTGCACCACCGAGGCTTGACAAGCAGTGAAACAGTCACACACACACACAAAACTCCCTTCTCTCGCAGCCGGGGCTGTGCGTCCGAGTGCGCCAGTGAGTGTGTGTTTTGAATTCAAATGCAGCAACACACCAGAGCTGCAAATGCGAAGACTGAGAGGAGGATGGCGGTGATGTGTTTCGGAACCGAAGCCCTGTTTTTTTTTTTAACCCGGCTAAAAATGCCTCAAACCTGGTTCAGAATAACCTGGCTCCCTGTCACACACAATCCCACAGAGTGACCCGTGGTAAGTATCCCACTTCAGCCATGCCAGGCACAAAGGGCCACATTAAGGAAATAATCATGAACATGCACCTACCATGTTGACTTCAGAGACCATGTCTATGCTGGCTATGTCTATATTCATGCCCACAGCCACCGGCGCGCCTGTGAAGGAGAGGAGGCGTTAATAGAAGACATATGAATTACTCCTGTCATCGTAGAAATGTAACAAATTCGTGACTTGCGCACAGGTTTCTCACTGCTTCCCTCCACCTACGGGAGACTTGTGCATCACCATCTTGAGCAAAAATGACCATGTTTAACACGCATATGAGCTTAAGTGCCGCTAATTTAATCTTTTTAGGCGAATGATCAAACATTGATGAGCGGGATCGATCACGTTGAAAGCCTGTCTTATCTCGCCATCAAATGAAACATGCACATCATCTCTCACAGCCTGATTAGAAAGGCCTATTTGGCTGTGAAAGGACGATTATGTAAATTAAAGCAGATTTTGCGTTTCATTAAACATGTATTGCACGTCAGGAGGGCGTGAAAACATAACATCCCGTTTTCAGTTTGCTCGTTACCTCCGAAATCTGGCCTCAACCGAATGTCGTATCCTTTCATCAGTCTGTCCACCGTTTCTTTGACCAGAGGCATATTGCTCGGATCTTTGATATCCTTGGCGCTGGGGAGAAAAAGGTGATATAATGCAAAACATCTTATTAATATTACACGCCAGGCACGCTTTCACAGGGGCTACATGACATGCATGACTGGGGACAATAATAATAATAATAATGCAAATCTAAAATAAGCATTTTAAATAAACGGGATGCAGACGTTTACCTCTGAGACCAGACAAAAGTCACTAGTAAGGAAAAAGTCAAAATCCCAAAGTGGTTTTTCCTGATCCTCCCCATCGCAACAGTTTTTGAGGTGGCTTCGGGATGCGAGTGAGGAGAGCGCACATCCAACTTACTCCAGACAGTGCAGAGGAGCCAATGAGGGGCGCATGCGTGCAGACAGCCCAAAATCAAAGAGTGGAGACTGACGATGGTGGATGAGCAGTTTTCATTGCAGAGGAAAATATTAAAGGAACAAGTGGAGGTGTCTAATGAAGAAACAGGTATTTATGCCACAAGTGAAAAGAACAACATCAATATTAGTTTTAGGCTTGTTTTATTCTTTATACTATATGTGTTACATTGCGGATAAGTCTGTCTACATGTTGACAAGGTCAAACAACTGAATGCGCTGTAGAGTTAAAATGGTCAGATTGCCAAGTAAAGACTAAGTTTATTCCCTCATTTTTTTAAATTACTACACCTTTTCAGTGGCTACAAAGAGAAAAAGCACTTCATTCATTACAAAGTGAAACTTCATAGAGCCACATCTGTGCCCGACAATCATGCACTATCTCTCCAAAAACAGACATTTAATGTCACCAACACCCCAGGGGGCATCACACCTCAGTCTTCCCTGCAGTGTTTCCAGAGGACCTGCAGTAAATCAGAAGGTGCAAGGGGAGCAGCGGAGCAGAACAGTGGATGAGAAAACACAATCCCACAATTCATTTTCCCAGGTTTGAGCACAGATTTGAAGCCACAAACAGGGATGCGAGCCTCCCCTAAACTGCCTTTGATCTTGTTGTAGTGGGAGCTGTGCTTCTGTAGAGGGCAGGCTTCTGAAAGCATTGGTTCACTGTTGCATCACCACCAGTTACAGCCATCATAGATTATATCACACACTTCTTTTTGAATGTGTTTCTTAGGTTGTGTGCGTGAGCATCACGTGTGTGCTGTTTGTCCAGGGTCCGAGAAGTTGTTCTGCGTACAAGGTGGGCTTAAAGTGACTGAGGCCTGTGAAGGGCAGCGATTCAGCTCCTGATCAGAACACAAGTGGGCAGTGGTCACAGCCTGTGAAATGAATAGATGTGCGGCAGGAGAATAAATGAGTTTCTGATTCATTTCCTCTGTCAGATGAAGGCAGATTAAATACTAAGAGAGGGTTCACAGAGAGAGAAAGAGCGAGAGACAGGGGGTGAGGTGAGGTTGGCTGGATGCTGACACATGCCCTTTTCCAGGTCCTCTTAGTTTTGAAGATCCATGTCCCTGCAAGACCAGAATACAGCAGAGCACAAAATGTGACAGCAGCATGGAGAAACCTCTCTATCTGTAGTATACCACACAGCCCAAGCTGTTACTGTGCTCCCTGTCCTCTCATCGGCTTCTTCAAAAGAACCATGTGGCAAAAACATATAAAGGGAATAGATGTGATGCAGCTGTCCTCATGCTTTCCATCTCGTCTGTATCATTACTGTGCAGAATGTTATAAACAAAACAACTATATATATTCTCTGACAGCAACATGAAAAGCACAATGAGGAGATTTTCACTCCTCCATGTTACATAATATCTCTCTCTCTCTCTCCCTCTCTCTGTTTTTCACTCCTCCATGTTACATAACATCTCTCTCTCTCTCCCTCTCTCTGTCTTTGTGCACCATATCTCTCTCCTTCTTTCCTGGACATGGAGCTGTGCTCTAAAAGTGACTCACTTATAGGCAGTAAAGTGAATAGTCACTGTTTCATGTGGTTACTGTGCAAAGCAAGCACTGGTTTATTTTGCTTAGGAGACTTGCTCCCCATGGAGAAACAGTGTTGTCATTACAATGACTTTTGCCGGCCCTCAGGTAAAGCGTATATCAAAGAGGAGAGGGCGCCTGATGCATATTTTTCTTCTGAAATTAACTGAGCACCCAGCCCCATTTGTATTGTAAATGGTGATGATGATAAAAGCCACAGTCCTGGCATCAATGCAGCAACAACGCCACCTAACATCATTCTGTTCTTTTTCGCCTACAACTCCGGGGGCTGTTTCAGCATTAGGAATTATTGATGTCTTTACTGCCTAGATAAAAGTCTTTGACAAAAACGGTGGGTAGTTATTGTTCCACTGAAGCTATCATAATTAGAAGTGAGAAAGATTTGTGGCTCTTTGAAATAATAAGTAAGTGTGAATAAACACGCCTTCAATCGTTGTCAGATTTTGTGTTGATTTTGCTCATTTGTACAAGGATGCTGGATACTCTGCAACTATTCTTCCTGTGTTCTTGTGTATTTATAACAGCGGTACAGTTTACAGTATGTGGGACTGACTCGCAGGAAACTAGAGTCCATGATGATCATAATAAAGGAACATGTCACCCAGTGGAATAGTGAGGCTCAATGATGTGTTTTTAAATTTCTGGTATAAATATAAAAAGCTATATCAGGCTTTGGTACACAGACAAAACTTGCTAGAAGGATCAATTCAGTGAGTGTTTTAGGTTTGTTTATGTAATATTAATAATTAGAAGACAAATATACAAAAACATCGGACCCTTATAACAGTGACAAGATGGACGCAGCTGTACCAACATAATTAAGAGTACTCTGTTTACCTGACACTCTCTAAGGTGTCCTTGGCCAGGTAAATGTACCAGTACACTAGGTTGAATAGGGCAAAGCCAAGGGGGAAGAGGACGCGGGCATACATGTCGATGAGGCTGGTGCCGGCCAGCTGCAGGATCTGAGGAAAGGCTGAGCCCTGCTGGAGGAAAATCAGCAGTGGCGGAACATCTCCTGGATCACTGCGACACACTGAGTGGCTTCTCCTCTTTAGGCTTTCCTGAGGGCTGCTGTCCAGCTGGTAGGAGGGGTAAGGGGTGGCGTGGAGGAAAAGCAGGAAGAAGAGATAGAAAAAAAAAAAAAAAAGAGTATTAATGTTTTAAGAAATGGGATTTCTGTCTTGAGAGTACTGATGTTGGTGCACAGTAAAAGCTACATTTTAACATGCTTGTGTCATGCATACAAGGCTGCATAGAGCTTTCTCTCAGTGAGACACCAGCATCCCTGTGGAACAGAGAAGGTAGTTAGCTAGGTGCCTGTAGGACAGTTAACAGATTATGCAGGGAGGAGTGCTGGGGTTATTCCCTGTTCTCACAGTGAGGCTATTTTTAAAGCCTCTAACCATGAGCCGTACACGTGAGACAAAAGCCAGGAGGACACTGCAGTGCTTACTGTACTAACATAAAGCACATAGCTTGAGATGAGAGTACTACAACAGCATGTATTACTAATTAATGTGTGGTGTGCTCTGAATGGCACAAATGGAAGAGGCAGGGTGACCACATAAAAATGCATAGAAAGCAACCCCCTATCTGTGGCAAGATTTCTTTTTATCAGTATCTGAGTTTATGGCGCTGCTTCCTGATCAGTATTAACATCACTGTCTGCAACACTGAGGAGACTTATCTCCATTCATTGCCATTAGCTATGCATTTTAAATGCCATGTGACATAAATCACAGACTTTCCTCAGATGACAGGAGAAGCTGTTGTTGGTGAGCAGGTTGTTTAATACAAAGTCTGGGAACAAAACCAATTATCCTGCTGTCAGGTCATGTAGAAGTAGATCTGGTTTTAAACATGTATATTCATACATGTTCTGACTTTTATATCTTCCTATTAAAGACCTTTTTATTTACATTTATTTTCAGATATAAAAAAACACTTTTACAATTTGGGAAATGCGTTTATTCACTTTTTTTGCTGAGCTTTAAGCAAAAAAAATTGGAACCACTCATGTTTAAACCCAGCAGCTGGTTAGTTTAGCATAACGGCTGGAAACAGGTAAACAGCTGGCAAAGCTGTGGCGAGAAATGCTTACTCACTGCTGGCTGGTGATATTTTCATATTTATTGTACAGACATTTCATCGAACTCTTAGCAAGAACATGAATTAGTCCAAAATGCCCCAAAATGTTAAACATTTTTCAAATGTATACAATATATGTGCTTTTTATATCATTTTTTGGTTAAATATCAATCCTTCTGATTGAGCTATTCCATGAATTATTACCATTTCAACACATAAAATTTACAAACAATTTTTTTTTTTTACAATTTCACATTGTTTAAGCTCTAATATTTGAAGTGAAAAGGCATGACAATGGTATGAGTACAAACGTTTACACTTTTATATTAAAACTATTTTCTGTGATTTTGATTCAACAAAAAAAAGTATATAAAATCAGCACAGTGAGGTAATGGGGCATCTGTTGCACTTAATTAACCATATTTTAATGATGACAATAAAACTTTAGCTTGAATCTATCTCATAGTAACAACATAAGGTCAGCTGCTCACCGAAGCTGTGTCCTCCTCATCGCTGTCAGTTGCCTCGAGCTTGTCTTGTCTGGCTTCTTGCTTCTTCAGATGGTTGGCCTGGCGAGTGGAAAAGTAGTTTACTGCTGCAAACTCAACAAGAGCCGATGCCACAAAGGCAAAACACACAGCGATGAACCAATCCATGGCAGTTGCATAGGCTACTTTGGGAAGTGACTGGCGAGCGCTGATGCTTAATGTGGTCATGGTCAGCACAGTGGTGATGCCTGGAGGAAAACAAAACATATATGTGTATATACATGGACACACATACATGATGTAGCATCATCGTGCAATCAGCTGTCCAATACTGGTTGGAAAAGGAACGTACCAGCAACCGTGCGAGCAGGAACAGACTCTTTGTTGATCCAAAAAGAGACTTGTGACAGCACAACAATCATTATAAGAGGGATGTAGGTCTGTATGAGATAGTAACCAATCTTCCTCTGGAGGTGGAAATGGACCACCTGCACAGAGTACTGACCTGCAAGATAAACAGCATGTGTGAAGAGAGCAATCCCAAGGGACAGAGCGGGGTAGCACAGAGCAGAACAGATGCCCTTGCCTGTCCTTGAAACAGAGTAGATAGAAACATACAGATATATTGCTCCTGTTAGGACTGGAACTATAAGACAGGAGATGATAGACAGAGAACAGGACAATAAAGAGATGGGAACAAAAAGGAAGCATAGCAGATATTTAAAAATGGAATAAAGTCATGAAGGGGAGGCGGAATGAATGAGGAGGGGGCAGGAGAAAGAGCATGCAGTGTCACTATGCGTTAACACTGCCCTGCTCTGTCTAAACACATGCAGACAGACAAAAACATGCTGCATCATACACACAGACAAAAACAGAGGTTGTATCTCTTTCTCTTTGGGTTTTTGAAGCCTGACTCATCCTTTTCCTCTTTATTCCATGGATCTGCTGGGCACACAGCAGGAGAGCACTTCTCCTTACTGTGAAAACAAAAAATACACACGCATACTACTCCATCCTTCCTCCTCTCTGTCACTGCATTGACTGAGCATTAAAACCATATGGTTCTTTTTTATAGGCACATTGTATGCATTAGGCTCGGCCACTTAAGCATCTTAGATGGCTGCTCAAGGAAGCTTTTACTGCGAGGGAGTAATGGGCACTAATGCAGAGTTTGAAGAGACTCATTGACCTCTTTCTGCTCATAAATTCATCAGCTCGTGAAAATTTTCAAAATTAAACTTTTAAGTACAAGTACAACTGTAGGAGTGTCCTTAAAATAAATCTGGCAAAGGGCATTACCTGTGTTTGATTTGAAAATCTCACTGGATAGAGTCTGTCCCACTAGATCATACTGAAGAAGGCTCATGGACTCTTTGGGGCACTCGACAGAAGCTTTTGGTCCCTTCCTCCAGGTGAACTTAATTTCACTGCTTGTGTAGGCATCTAAAATGGAAAATGCACAAAGGAAACCCCTCAAACAACTCAAAGGTTGATGACATTTATAGATCTAGACATACAAGAAATCTGCTTTACTCACAGCTTCCAAACCTGAGAGGGCAGGAGTGGCTGTCCATGGGGAAGTCCATCAGGTTCATTGGACACTCTGCACTGATTGTCAGTCTAGTAGCAAGACAACACACAGATCAGTCTCAGTCATTTATTCTTTTAAACCTGGGGTGAGGAGACAGCCTTATTAACTAAACAATAGCTGTGCTATCCAGTTTACCTCATGGTGTAGAGGACGGTCCCATTCTGCATGATACGGAAGAGCTTGTTGGGTGTGGTCATGTTGTGGGATATAGACTTCTTGGAGTTTCTGAAGAATGTGTCTGGTGTCCAGATCTTGTCCACCATACGGTTGTTCAGTCGCAGGATTTCAGTAGGGCCCTCAAATTTCAGCCGCTCATCAACCCACATCTGACGGAAGAACATGTCCATGGTGTACTCCTGATGCATACATAAAACACGTTAGTAGATGTGAAACCTTATGATCAACAAAACTACAACTAGAGATTTAAACTTTAAATTTAGATCTTTGTAGACACCAAACATACAGTCACCATAATTCACCGGTATGCATGGGCACATATTGCAACTTATAGCGGGAGGTGAGGAGAGATGATGAGGCAATGATGGATGCCACTCATCCCAGATAATCATTAATCAATCCTTTCAGCCATTCACTCTGCCTGACGTGTTGTCATATTGATTTTGAGGCCATCGATAATGGAGTTATAGGGCTGGTCAAACAGATTAAAGCTCATTAGATAGTCTCATGGCAGATTTCCCATAAGGCAGGCATTCAGTGGTCACTGAAGCATTGTTACCTTCTCATAGTCAGCACATACATCTCTTAAGAAGTAGTGTCTTACCATCTCAACATCAGAAACAGGCCCAAAGCTGGTGACAAAGATGTCTGTTTTCACCTCTGTAATACCACCTGCAACAATAATTGGCAACTTTGTAATGTACACAATAACACAAAGCAGTACAGCACTATCAATTTATTGGTATAAGGCTTTAGGAGTTGCAGTCTGAATTACCTCCAGATCCAGGTCGCAGTCTGTTGTCATAACCATTCAAAAGTTGATCCAAAATACGTGTGATGTTGTCCGAGTGAATCTTCTCATCCCCACTTACATTACTAAGACTGCAGAGGAAAAGAAGATTAAACTCAGTCTCACTGAACCGTGATCCACTTTAAACTGAGAAAGAACACCTACCTTATCCAGCAGAAAAAGGTAACTAAAGTTAGTGACAGAATGGCCATCCTTGGCAGCACTTATTACCAAATTTTAAGTCAGCTCTCAATTCAGTACTGCATAAAGTAGCATGAAAAAGGACTAAAATGAAGAGTGTAGGCGTCTATACAAGTGTCACTGAAGTGACTGGTTGGTTTGCATAATGACACAGGAGACACTTAAGGCAAAACAGTAATCTAATTAACAGATTAGTAAATCCTCTCCATTTTTAGACAAACACTGGATTCTCCTGCTTTATGATGTAACAAAATTAAGATCATTAAAGACAAATATACGAACGTGAAACTGATGCACCGCATCATATTAATGTTATGAATTCAATAACAAAAAACCTATTGTCTCACGAGGACATTTTATAGTTAATAGAATTAGACAGCAGATGGTGCTGTTGCACCATTGTTGTTTACAACCGGAAGTAGCTACATAGAGGAAAAAGAGAAGAAGAAGACGCGTTAGCTATGGTGTTAGCATGACTTACTTGTTAGTCAGTTAGCTGTCGTTAGTAACCTGTCACTCGGTGCAAAGCAACAACATGTCAGTGCACTTCGAAGAGAGGAGCGGTGTCGTTCCCTGTAAGACACCCTGGGGATCCTGGTACCAGACCATGGAGGAGGTTTTCATCGAAGTTAATGTGCCTCATGGGACGTCTGCTAAAGAAGTCAAGTGTCATTTGGGATCCAGAGACATCGAGCTGCACGTCAAAGGGAAGGAAATAATCAAGGTAAGCTTTATGAAGTGACCCTCGAAGACTGTACTGTGGAATCACATCTCCCTCCTCTCAGACAACACCTGTTAAAGTCAAAGAGAAGGAAGGCCAGATAAAGGTGCGGAGGTGTCTAAGCAGATTCTCTTAACTTTTTCCGAATCAGTTTTGTTTATCAGGAATTCCCTCAAAACACCAACAAACAAAACCTGGAAACATGCAGAAACATCTTTGTTTTGTTTTTTTAAAGTAGTCAGTAAAAACGTCTCAGTTGCTAAAGTCAAACTCACACTGGAAGTGGGAGTACTTATGCAGAGAGAGCGCGGGTGTTTTAATAACATGGGCTGTTCTACCTGTGCCTATATTTGCTATGAAAAGTCAAAATGTGTAAGGTGATACCTTTACCGTAAATGTAAGTATATAGAGTATATAGGCGCACTTCAAATTCTAGCGCGGTTGGCTTGACCACGGAAAACTGAACGGCGGCTGATTTGACCGCAGTCTTCACATTGCCTTTTATTTACCCTACCAGGGAAAGTTGTTTGACACAACCGTGTCTGATGAGGCTACTTGGACACTAGGTACGTTTCATTCTTAGAAGTAACTCACACAGATTTAACTTAAACTAGAATGTACAAAAGCCACTCATTTCATTCTTGTTTACCGGCTTTCTATCCTCAGAGGATAAGTGTCTAATCCGGATCATTCTGATGAAGACCAACAGAGAAGCAGGGAACTGCTGGTCCTCCTTGCTGGAGGGGGACTACTGCGCCAACGCCTGGGTCCAGGACCAGATGCAGAGAAAGCTTACACTGGAGAGGTTCCAGCGGGAGGTTAGTTTTGATATAGTGCCATTTTAAGGCTCTTGGTGTATTTTGACAGTAGCATAGGCCATCAAATGCTTACCTGTCTCCTGCTACACCTGGTCACATCACTTGAACTTTGTTAGCCAGGTAGGTAGGCTACCACATTCTTATAAGACACTTTGTTAAGGGTTTATGAGTTGTAACATAGCTTAGACATTTACTAAAGCCTCATACATACATAGATTAAAAACAAAAAACAACTAATTTCCATTGCAATTGTAAAGAATCCCTTTGGCTGGTTTGTCCTCTGTATTTGCCCGAAAGGCAGTTACAAACATGGCTGCTTCAACAATAAATGGTCATGGATTTCTTACCTTTTAATAGCCCTGCAGATGTAAATGTTAAGTCATTAGTAAAGGGTTTCATTACTCAAGTGTGTAGCAGTGTTTAAATAAAAAATAAAGAAAAAAAAGATGATGTTAATAAATGGATTTAAATCCAGATCATCTGCCACCCTTTTCTGGTGAAATGATGTAACCAGACCAGATTTCACAACCCGGCAACTCAAAAGTTGATCTTTAAAATCCCTGGCAAATGACTTAATATGTAATGCCAATATTTAAAATGTATAAACCCCTAAAAAAGTGTCTTATGTGGTTAAGATTACTTTAATTGGTGTAATTTGTGTATATAATAGGAACAAGGCAATGTTTTTGTCCTTTAACACTTGAACAGTGCTTTTCAAACAACTTGGGGTGATGAGAAATCAGATTCATCCTCAGCTGATCACAAATTTGTTTGAATTTGTTAAAAGAAAAAATAGGCGCTAGTCTTGATAAGCAGCCACAGGTTCATGCTCATTAATTAATTGCACTCCACTTTGCTAGAATCCTGGATTTGACTTCAGCGGTGCAGAGATCTCTGGCAATTTTGCTGGTGGCGGTCCGGACTTTTCCAGTTTACAGAAGTGACTGTTGCCACAGTGTTAAAAACCTGTTACCCACTGGAGATGTCCCCTCTTCCTCCTGATGAACACTAGAGGACATCTATGACCCACAGGAACAGTGGATCCTTCAGGTCTTGTGTAAGAGAAGTGAAAACGTCTTGCCATCAGGGAACTCATATTTGGCAGTCAGCAAGACGTGACTGTGCAGCAGAGACTTGATACAACAGCATATTAATCTCTTTTCTTGGCTGTGGACTGTTGCTAAGCCTGATTGAGCAGATTGCAAAGTCATTCATTTTACAAGCAGAATAGTTAAAGGCAACTGTTGTCATAAAAAAAAAAAATCCTTGGAGCGGTCTTTGATAATGAAACAAATGCACAAATTAGTAACTTTTCAATAAAGTTTTATTGAAAGGTGCAAGTACATGGGTTAACCAGATGCTGTATTCAATTGGCCATTTTTAATTTTGAGAATTTGTCACTAAAGAAAACTAGACAGGGATGTGGGCAAAAAAAAAAAAAAAAAAAAAACCTATACCAATTTCAGTCCACATTTCCACTGCACTTTCAAATTTTTTTAGTGTTCTCTACATAGCTTGACAATAGAAATCAATACTATATGTGGCACTTCAGCTTCACTCAGTTGCCAAAAATAATTTAGTGAAAACAAGTCATATGTAACTGCTGATGACATTTCACCTCAGACAGTATGGTTAGCCATGTGTGACAGGATCGTCACTGGAGAAAACCTGAGATCCATCACCATATCTCAGAAAAAAAAAAAAAAAAACCTAAAGTTCTCACCTTGGGTAGGAGTGTGCATTCACGACAGTTTAGCAACCTAGGGTGGGAGTTGAGGATTCTGGGCCCGATTTCTTGGTTCCATTTTTGCTGTTCACAAAATCCCTCTCCCTCCTCTTCCACATGGTGGACTGAGGACCTAGGTGGTTCTTTACTTATTAGCTTAAAACCAGCAACTTGTTCAAGGAAATACCAAATACAGTGGTACTGATTTAAACAAGAACATACTGTACACTTGTGCAAACAACTCAACCAGGAAAGTAAAACTTAGCAAGATGGCAGTAGATGAACCAATCTGACGAAGCATTACTCCTTGTCAATGGGGAAGATAAAAATACAGTGTACTTGAGGGAAATCAACATTTGTAGCTTTTCCTTAAATACATCCATCATCACCGGTGAATATCTGTAAGGAAAATAACTAGATGTATGTGGGTGACAAGAACAAAGATTCTTTGGGGACACCCATTCATACAACCAAGTTTTAAGAAGCAGACTCGGGTATGGTGGGAAGATGAGCGATCTTATAGTAGCTGTGCTTCAGCTGACGTGCCGTTCTTCCTGAAATGGTCCAGCGAAGTCTATGGCTGTTTGGCTTTGCGCACTTGGTGTTGGTATATTCAGTCAGGCATTTTCCAACTAACTCATGCACACACAGAAGATCTCCATCTTTGATCTGCACAGAAGAAACACACAAATTGTAAACTATACTGTGGAATCACATCTAGTTTTTTTCCCCCCATCTTATGTTAATAACCAATTTCCAAAAATCACATTAAGCAAGATTTGGGCACTAACCAAACACAGCTATGGCAAAAGCAAAAATATTTTAAGTTGTTCTCTACATCACACAGATTTAAAATTGTAAAAGTGGTTTATATTTACATTCAGCTGCTGCTGCAGACTTCGCAGGGCCTCTGATATTTTGTCAGCGTGCTTTGGGTCGTGTTGTTCCTGAGCCTCATAACACAGGAGAGCAATGGCAAGCAGAGATGGCTGCAGAGAAGAGATTACAATTACAAAAAACTGCCAACACAGTAACCAGGACTGTTTAAGAAAACTGGGACACAACATTTTAAAAATGAATATGCTCAACACAGCCTACTTTAAACCTAGGCTACCACTAAAAATGATTACGTTAGAAGACTGAAACTACTGGAAGCCACTTTGACATTATGAATTCTTCTGATACAAAATAAATGGAAATGGAGCATCTTATGATCTTGGGAGATGAGTTGTTTGGACCAAAATGCTATTTGATATTCACTGGGAACTATTTGACAATTATTCGAAGAGCCCGCATTACTGAGAGTCCCACTCTGTATTGACTAGCTCTGTATTGCCAATGTTGTCAGGTACACATGGTGTGACTTTTTACACGAGTCCCCAATGTGGTGGAAAGCATATTCGCCAGGTTCGAAGTAGTAAGGTGCTCCGGTATGGCTTCAGTCTGAAGAACAGCACTCTAGTTTTTTTTTCCCCAGTTGCTCATATAATGGCAGACGACTGTGACCACGTAGCTGTGGTCAGAGAAACTATTTTGACACTTGTCAAACAAATGCAGTTCACATGCACTGTCATCAAGGTTTATCGAGTTGTGCCATGGCCATTTTTCTTGATGGCTGTAGTCTCTAAATATTTCTGCTGTTTGTATTTGGCAAACAAATACTGCCCATCCCTAGTTTTGACCTACCTTTATTTTGGAGAATGCAAATGAGCAGTGACAGGCTTTCAGCTGAGCCCCAAGTCTCTCAAGGCTCAGTATCTTCTTGCTGAAAAAGAAAATACTTTGTGTCAAGACTACAACTTGTATACAAGATGGATTTGAAGAAGGGCTTCAGTCTATTTCAGTCCATCAAGTGACAAAAGAATGATAGTGTATTTATACATTTTTACTAACGTACAAAACAATCCCGGTAATGTACACAGGATTGTCATATTCCTTTTCTAACACACTGTCTAAAAATCTACAAGACTTAGGACTGCGCCTGTTGGCCTTAAAAATATTTTCAGCTACTGTTCTCTAATGGCAAATATGACAAGACAAATTTTAGTAGTAGATTAAGTCTGCAGTCCTCCATGTATTCTCACTTGTGTTTGTTTTATAATTGATTTATTCATCCACTTTTCTTTCAATAATAAACTATTTAATGTGCAATTCCTGTGAGTTCCTGTGATGAAAGATTCATACTGTCGATTTTTAGTTTTCACCTACACTTTAAAAGTCTTCATCTGAAAGCACTGGTTTGGTTGGCGCAGTAAAAACAACATTTTCCTGTCTGGTTTTCTAATATAAAATATGAAGAATATTTAATTTGACTGATGAGGGTCATTATTATAAAGATAGTGTTTTTGTTTGTTTGGTAAGTACATGTTAAGTACATCTTGTCAGTCAGAATGAAATATCCTGATGTAGAGTACTTTGAAAAGTGCACTCATATGTCATCATAAACCACATTATTATGATTTACCATTTAGATTCATTCTGAAGATGTTAGATATTACCAGGCATCTGAGGAAAAGTACAACCGGGTCATGTACAAACAAATGTTTTCTTTTTCACAGATTTGACACCACATAAAAAAGAAGACAGTTAAAAAAAGGGGAAGTGGCAAATTTACTGAATCTCAAAACTCAAAACTGCTTTGTGTGGTCACACAGCTTTCTCCTTCCCATTTTTATTCAACCACCAAACCTACAACTGCTTTTAAGAGAAGCACATTAAATCACATTTTTGACCATCTTTCCCACATTTTCACACCGACTCATCTATCTGGGTGAAACAGACCAAAATGCCACTGAAGCAAAATGACATGTTAAACATGACGACCAACGTTTACCATCCAACCTGACAGCACTGGAGAGGATCTGCAAGGAGGAATGGCAGAGGATCCCCAAATGCAGGTGTGAAAAACTTGTTGCATCATTCCCAAAAAGACTCATGGCTGTATTAGCTCAAAAGGGTGCTTCTACTAAATACTGAGCAAAGGGTCTGAATACTTATGACCATGTGATATTTCAGTTTGTCTTTTTTAATAAAAATGCAAAAATGTCAAATGCTGTGTTTTTCTGTCAATATGGGGTGCTGTGTGTACATTAATGAGGAAAAAATGAACTTGAATGATTTTAGCATATGGCTACAATATAACAAAGAGTGAAAAATTTAAGGGGGTCTGAATACTTTCCGTGTCCACTGTATATAATGCTGTTGAGTCTTGCTTCAGCCCTGCAGGTTGATGTGACTGTCTGTCCTCACCTCTCAGCGTCGAGCTGCTCCTGGATGTGGTTGTGAAAGAAGCGGAGAAAGTGGAGGGCTGTGGGGGCCTTCACCTTCCAGTAGAGCTTCTCCAAGATGATCTTTTCCATTCTCATCATGTCAGACACTGTGAAGCGATTCTGACTGATGCGGATCAGGTCATTGGCCAGAGGCACGTTCTTCTCCTCTTCCGAGGACTTCACAGCAATGTAGAAGCAGCAGAGGCCCACACAGGCCAGGTGCTTTGGTTGAATCTGCAGAGGACACAAACAAAATTGGATTATAAAACCATGTTTTGACCAATTTTGTGCTGTCAACAAGGTCAAATTAGAGTCACTATTGTGCACAAACCTTTACTACAGAAAGGAATCGATCTAGCATGCTGATGGCCAGTGAGAAGGTCTCTGAGCTGAAACCAAAGAACCTGGTCAGAGAGAGCAGGTCCTTCACCTCCAACTCCCTCAGTCTGGGGGTCATCCTGAGGCCATTGTCCTGGGCACCCTCTATGAGCCTCAAACCACTCAGCAGTGGTTGGTATCGTGCCTCCAGATCTGTCATGCCCTTCAGTTCAACAGCAAAGGGCTTTGCTCCGGGTCCTGTGACTGTTTCAATCATCTGTACAGATGGAAAAAGAGAACTCAGTAACACCGATTTAACTGATTCAGAATATTTCTGACTACATCTCGTATACGTATGTATGATCATCACTATCTACATATATTAAAGCTAAAACAATTGTATTATAGCCCTAACTTATACAGCTATACTGTCTATATGTGCTTTAATAAGACACTGTTCTGAGTTATATGGTCTGAGTAAAAGTGTGATATGATGGCCAAACAGGAAGAGACATTGTTCAACTCTCCAGTAATAGTCAAATATGCTATAAATTTGCATATGCAAGATAAAACTGCTGCACAATATTAAGATAACCAAGTCCCAAATGTTAACTCTGTCAATGTAAGGGGGGATATGTATAAAGTCATATATCTAACAGATTTTATGAATGCATATGGACCCAAGTATCTTAACAGACACTTTAATTTTCCAAATGGGTGGTTTATTTTACATGGGTGTAGTGCTCAGGAGTATCTGAGCATGGGAGTGTTTCCAAGTGTGTAGGTTTTCCACCAACAAGCCTTCCCCTAGCAGCTGTCACTGAACTGGATTTAACTGGACTAGACCGGGGTTGGTGTAACATGGATATGTTAACACAGACATGTCGACCAAGTTTTTCCACACTTTTAAATCATAAATGTTTACCCTGGACACAAACTGAACTCCTCCCTCCTGGAGGGTGCTACAGGTCACTATACTCCGAAACAACCAACAAGGACAGTTTCTTGCCCAGGCCATCACTCTGATCAACACTTAACCCATGACTGTATAACAACATGACAACCCTTAGTGAAATACCCTGAAAATATACCTTTTGTATATATCTATTTAAAAAACTGCATCTCAACAGTGTACACATATACACCGTGACACTCTGGAGACATTGAGCGTGAGCAGCTATGTCAAAGCACCAGGCCCAGCGTGTAGCACGCAAGGACCTGCATCATGTCAGGACATGTCCCTGTCATACACACTAATGGGGAGCTAACAGTTGAAAACAGCAAACCCAGCAGACAGAACGCTAACATCTTAAAGTACAAAACTGTGGATATAACTGTACGGCAGAACATCGTCGTCACTATGGAACTTAAGCGTACTGTCATACTTAATGAAGTGAAGGGAAAATGTCAAACTAATTTGACTTTACGATGAAACCGTTAGCTACAAGCGCTAGCCCTAGCTAACAGCAATTTTCAATATTTTGTGGCGTTGTTTTATTTACTTTTTCAGCTGACTGACAGCCACACAACAACATGATTGGTTTCTAAATTACCAAACATTATTTTAAGTTAATGTGACAGAAAAAGAAAATTTGTTTAGCTTACCTTGGATCAAGTTACGTTGCCTTTAATATAATCAAAAACAGCAGTGAAAGAAAGTCTCCGCGTGCTTTAAATTATCGAGGGAAGAGAGGCTTAAAGCACAAAAAAATGTAAGTATGAACTTTCACAAAATAAAATTTTAGATCAACTTCTGCCTATGCACACCCCCTACCCTGGGCGTAAGGCGATGGTGAAAAGGACAGTTTACTTACTAATGCAGGCATAAAACCAAACCCATGCCCAGTCATAATGAGCTTTCATTGGTCATCGACGAATAATATACCTGGTTCTGAGTTTCAATTGGATATATTTTCAACCATTCACAACTAAGTCCCGCCCTTTGCATACTGCAAGACCAATCGTAGGTAAAGAGGCGGGACATGGTCAAAAATTGCGTCTTCTCTTATTATTTTGCCAATAAAATCATATGATACTTATCCTTATTAAAATATTTTGAATCAACAATAAATAGCACAATGGACTCAACATCAATCGAAACAGTTAAGCTTTTTCATGAGTACTGCATTCAATAATAGGGGCCAAGAAAAGTGTAAAACATTGCAGGAGAGAGGGAAAACAGTAGTCTTTAACAGATTTTCCAGAAAATTGCTCATGATTTGTAAAAAAAAAATCATATTGTTTTCACTAACTACGTATAATTCCAACGTCCAACTTCCCCTTTAAATTGGACGTAATTGTCAGATTTCTGGAACAATCTGGAAGGAACAGGAACCTGGTGAGATCAGCACTTAACTCGATCTATCACGTCTTAAGATTTATCTGTCTAAAAATAAAACAGGCTAATTATGGAGAGAACAGGACACGTTATCAATAAAGCAACTTTTTATTACATCAGGATATACAAATCTATAAGAAGGCCCACACAGACCCATTATATAGATCTACTGACATCAAGAGATTGAATCCTGAATTTACATACATCCAACAACATATATAGTTTTTCCAGTTTAAAACTGTGAAATAATTATCAGTACACAGGCCTATTTTAGATACAACATAGGGGCTGACATGTAAGTACAACGGTACACCTTTTATAATGATTAATGATAATATATGATTTAAAGTGCTTATAAATCACAATATAATGTATAATCCATACATCCTTTAACAGCAATATCATGTCACTTTAATAATATATATTTCACTGTGAGTACTGTCATCAAAAATTACAAGTGTAATATGACAGATAAAGGAAATTAGCATATTAAGTGCAGAAACAGAAAATCTGGCAATGAAGATTATTTTATACTTTTAGGAATGAAGGTTAGGAGCCATGCAGAGCCCATGCTATACAGAGTGCTGCATAAAAACTTAGAGGAGCATTTAGTAGACATGGAAGACTTCAGACTGACTAACTTCCAGTAGCATTAAATGAATTTCTATAAAACTGTTAATTCACATTGTAAAAATAATACACTTGATTGTTAGTCTGTAATCTTTTGATGTGGTAGAAAGTCTTCTAATTCAAATTCCTTCCTGAGGTTAAGGAACACGCAGATGGAAGACTAAAGAAGCTATGAAAAGGAAAAGCAAAAAATAAAAAAGCATGTCATTTATCTGAACCATCAACCCTACATATTCATCAAGGGCATTAGACAAGCCTCAACGAGATACATATTAATAATATTTAGTTCAAGTAATAATGTTTAATAAGCATTTTATTATCTTTTTTTGCTGCCACTGACTGTAGCAAAATCAAAACTGAAACTTGAATGAGCGCTTTCACAGAAACACCGCTCTTAATAAACAAAATAATGATGACAACAGGTGAAATATGAGATGCTTTCAATCATACAAATGATGGATTTGAGGAGAAGTCCCAGAGAACTGAGAGAACTGAACAGGAATGGGTTTGGCTGACCGACAGATGAACCAAAGCTCTATTTGGTTTTCCACTGTCATTATTTATTTGAATGTAAATTAAGGTATTTTCTCATTTCCAGACTCGTTGTAAATAATTATTTGCATTATAACTTTGCATAGAATGGTGGTTGGACAACAAAATAATCTTACCTCCAGCTACCAGCAATAAAAATATAATTTTTATACAATTTTAGAGACTCTGTATTAAAAACCCTGCTGGAGCCTACTCAATTTGTAAATGCTTGCATGTATGAAAACACAAATGCTCACTCCGTGTTATTACATAATGTTACATTGAATCATCACTTCAGTTCAGTCAATAACAGTCTCCTCTTTCCATTAAGTCCTAACAGTGTCTCACTGAGAAACAAACTTAAATTTACAACAGGAGTTGACACATATAGAAAGAATAGGAAATAACAGAAGCAACATGTTATGAAAACAGCCCCTGGATGTGTTATTGTGTGTCTAACAGAGTCAGTATTAAATACTCTCAGCAAAGCTGCCTTTTTGATCCATAAGTAGAGAGTGGCTGATAGCCAACGCATTAATCAGGCTCACATACTTGCACAGTCACTGCGTCACTGAGTAATGTCAAATGTGATCATTCTCTTTTGTCCATACTGATGGTAGACACAGTCCTGGTTTCCCTGGATGTTTAATCCATAAATCAACTGAAAGGGGAAAAGAAATAAGACAAAATATGGGAAAAAAGTAAAAATGCAGGATCTGCTGTATGGTAGAAATCAAAAGAATGAATGAATGAAATGGGAATGCAACAGTGTTTGGTTGCAACTTGAAGCAATTTCCCTTTCCAAATGTTTTAGGCTGAGGTCAGGTTAGGAGCCCAACTCCAGTTTTTGATATTTAACATATAATTCAGATATACACATATGGAAATCAATGTCTCCAAAGAGACAGGCTGCATTCAGAGGTGGACTAAAATAAGATTAAAAGTGAATTTGTATAGATGCTTCTCAATTTGATCACACAGACTTTAAACTATTTTAATGCCATGTTGTACAAAGAAGACACACAACACTAACAGCATGCTGGGAGCACGGCTACCCAACCACGACTGTAGCACCAAAAAGGGTTGCAATACATTATATTGGCTTTTTCTGTCACGGATGCCATCTACAGAGGGAGAGGGGTCCTGCACTGCCACTAGACATTTTTATTAAGAGTGAGAGCTTACATGAACATTAATGGAGACCTGAGCCTTGTTTTTAGTTGAATGCTGGAAAACACACCTGCACTTTGTCTACTGAAACCAGAAAAATGAATCCATCCCATCACTATCAATACAGAGTGAGGATACTCTGCCCTAAAAGACACGAGGTTCAGATGGACAAAACATGAATGCCAGTAATGTGAGAAAAAAAATTTAAAGTTGCAACTAAGACAAAACCTATAAGCCAGAATTGACAACACCTGAAAATACTGGCTAATTACAATGGCATAATTCCTTTGTTACCGTTAATTTATTCACTGTTAGAGCTGTTAAAGCCACACAAATCTCTCATTATATTGAACACTTTAGAGGAACCAGGTTTTCATTTATTCATATTTTATTACATTTTACTGTTTAATAAGACAGTTTTGTGATTGTGGATTTTCAAAGGTACTGTAATTTCGAGGTTCAAATTGTGTATGCAAGTTTTGAGCACGCATGATCAAACCTGACATATAATGCTTCTACCTACAAAAATTGTTACGGTTCTACATGGGATGTCTCAGTATCATCTGTGTTGCACAAGCGTCAGTGAGATCAGTCGAATGTAAACAGAAGTGCCCCTGCCTTAGATACAGTCTGGCAGGTCAGCCTGCAGAGACAAAGCAGTCAGGATGTGTCAGGCAATCTGTGACCCTTCCTGCTGTGTCTGAACACACAGCGTCAGTCTCAATCTGTCCCTGTAACAGTTTCAGAGCCAACATGGCTTCTGGGACGATAACACTATCTCATTAATCAGTGTACGCCTCCCCTCTTCTGTCCAATCAAGTCCATATATACTGGCTTAGAGAACTGGCCTGTGAATATACTGTATGTGTGACATTTAACCAATTATCCTTGAGTAGCTTGAGAGATTTTAGCATTAATACGATTTAGTGGAATGAACGCTTGCTCGGACAGCCATGGTATACGGAAGAACCCGCTTGAGCAACAGCATACATGAAATGCATACAGAAAAGCAGACTTACTTCTTCTTGTCCTTGTCCTTCTTGAAGGGCTGCTGTGAGGAGCCTTGGAGTGCCTGTCCCATCAGTGTCTCAGCTGCAACCTTTCTCCTATTGAAGGCATTCATCTCCTCCTCTAGCTCTCGTCTTTTCTCCTCCAAATTCTTCTTTTCTTCCTGGTGCATCCGCTTGAGCTGCTCAAACCTCTCATGAAGCTAGAGATAATGATGATGTGTCACAGTGTGAGACAAACCAAATATGGCTTATTCGCAATGAGGAGTTATTTTATGATGATGTAAATCCTCACCTCTTTTTCCTTTTCTTTCAGCTCTGCTTCTGTCTCCTTCACTTTGTTGACAAACATCTGTCTCATTTCTTCCTCTTTACGCTGCAGCTCCGAAAGGAACTCCTTCCTCTTGGCTTCATATGTTTCCTGGAGGCTGAAGGTCAGGGTAAAAGCAATGCCAGGCTCAGTCAGATGCCTCTGGTCATAAGTTCATACTTAGTTTAGTTGTAACATAAATGTTTACTAGGTGGGCATCAATGCATCACAACAATATGACCTAGATAGACCGAAGATTAACATAAGTCTAAATTGCTAAATGAAGTCATTAGGTAACATCAAAAATATTTTCTACTCATTATGCAATACATTTTAAACACATATTTTTTGCATTCACCCTATTCTGATGTCCCATAATGCCTTGTGCCCAGATAGTTTCCAGTGTCAAGAGTATAAAGGATATCTATGAAAAAATACCAACACGACATCTTGTTGGACATACAATTATATATAGAGGAAATTTATGTATGAAGCTATGCAGCCTGGAATCTCCCAAATGATCTAGCAGAATTTGTTCAAACCATTTTAAAGGAGGTGAAGTATTTTTCTGATAATGATGCTTATGTACAGAAACAATTCTACATTTTAAATGTTGAGATGAGTTATGATTAGTGAACTATATACAAATTGTCCGAGTGTACAGCAAGGGAATTTGAGGCTCTATGCTATATATACTACAGCTGTAGTCAAGCTTAGTCAAGTTTAGAATAACAGAGTGATGCCTTTGTTCTATTGCAATCCTATAATTTTTATAGAAAATGTTTCATTTCGCAGTGCAAGCTGGCACACATCAAACCCACAGTAACAACATGCAGTGCACTGTGGTTGACTGAGAGGAGACGCTCGAACATGTTGGTAAACTAGACTATAACCATGTCTCAGAAGAAAAACAGCCTATAATAGCATTGTCTTAACAGAAATACAAGTGTGCTGCCTGTCTCATTCTTCAGACAAATCCATATGGCAGCCTGACATTATATATTGTCAGTTTAAATAGGTCGCAATTTTAAATACTACATCATATCCATTTAAATGCCGATATTAATGTGGTCAAAATACCTCAGGCAGCAGAAACCAGAAGAATAAGGGAAGGAAGAGCAGGAACCCTCATGGAAGAGCAAACCTCTGCACGGTATGTACCACCGTCAGATAGAAGAAGTGGCTGATATCGAAAAATCCTACCAGTGGCTGGTCAAAGTTGGACTGAAAGACAGCACAGAGGCACTAATCCTGGCAGCACAAGAACATGCTCTAAGTATAAGATCAATCGAGACAGGGGTCTACCATACCAGACAGGACCCCAGGTGCAGGCTGTGCAAAGATGCCCCTGAGACAATCCAGCACATAACAGCGGGGTGCAAGATGCTAGCAGGCAGGGCATACATGGAACGCCATAACCAAGTGGCTGGCATAGTGTACAGAAACATCTGTGCCGTAGTGATAGATGTAGCAATCCCAAGCAACATCAGGAAGAAAGAACACGAGAAGCTTGAGAAATACCAAGGGCTGAAAGAAGAGCTAGAAAAGATGTGGAAGGTGAAGGCACAAGTGGTCCCCATGGTAATAGGAACATTGGGGGCTGTGACCCCCCCAAACTGGGAGAGTGGCTCCAACAGATCCCAGGAACAACATCTGAAATGTCTGTCCAGAAGAGTGCAGTGCTAGGAACAGCTAAGATACTGGGCTCAAGCTCCCAGGCCTCTGGTAGAGGACCTGAGTTTGAAGGAAGGAAGGAAAGACCGCCCCAAAGTGGGGGGGAATTTATTTTATTTTTTTATATATAAAGAAAAAAAAAGAACGAATAGCCAAATACAGCTGATAGACAGTCAATTGACAAAATCCTTAGTCGGGTGCATCCCTAATTGCCAAGATGCATTACATCACCGCTATCCCTAATTTCACCTGAACGAGTGGGTGTCCGGGTTTGTGTCCTTGAAGCCCATCTCTTCCAGCTTGCAGCGACGGTACAGCTCATAATGTCGAGCATGTGTTTGCTCCCGAAGATCCTCCATGTTGACACGCAGTAGCATTTCCCTCAGCTTCACAAAATCACAATGGTTTTCATTCTCCACTAAAAAAAAGAGAAGTGTGGTCATTTAGCCACAAGCACTTACTGAAATCTTCAATAACCACTATGTACTCATAAAAATTGAGAAACAGAATATTATGTTTATAGCAAAACCAAAAAACTAATAACAATTTGACAGCAGGCATGTGAATAAACACCTGTACTGTCTGGGAGAATTTTATGATTCTTGTCAAATCATTTCAGCGGACTCACCTTGTACTGATCCCCAGGGATACAGTCTTGCTTTCATCATCTTATTTCCTACTTTAACATCTTCTACACTTCCCACCACAGCAAAAGGAAGATGAGACTGTAACACAGAGTACTGATACTGTTACGGTATAGTTAAAAGGCAGACCACTGCTGTGATATTTACTCTTGGATCACATTCTTATATTGTGCTGCTGTCTACTCAATTTCCTACCTTTCCTGCAATATCAATCATAAAATGGTGGCATGTTATTCAAACTGAATTTAGTGAATTTATTAGTGCAGAAAGTGAGTCTCTGTGTTAACATTTGTGTCCTGAACCGACTGAGTCAGACAAAATCATTACTCCTTCTTATTATAACAACTAGTTTGAAACACATAGGGTACATGTATTAGACTATACACAGAACTCACATTCATAGAGGAGTTGATCTCTGCGACAGCCTCGTCTTCTGTAGGGAACTGATATATCTGCACTCCATTGCTGACCAGCTCACTCATAATCTTAATCTTCAACTTGTCCAGCTCAATCTTGGATACTGTGTCTGCCTTTGCAATAACAGGGATGATGTTCACCTGCATGGAAAAGCCTAATATAAGTGACAGACTGAGAAACATGCAACAGCAACCGCTGAAGCACACAGCACCAAATTCTCCTGTCACCTTGCTGTCCAGTTTCTTCATTGTAACTAGATCCAGAGACTTCAGGGAGTGTCCGTTGGGAGCGATGAAATACAGGCAGATGTGGATCCTTGTGTCGTGTAAATTAAACAGGGACCGCTTTATTTTTAGCTCCTCTTCAAGGTACTTTCCAAACTGGGCATCAATGTACTCAAGAATGGGTTTATAGCTGCACAGAAAATAAGGAGATACACATTACACAATCACCATCATTAGTTTACCTTTACATGTATAAACATTAAGCTTTACATTGCCTTCTTTCGCTGTCTGTCAGTCATGCAAGTATCCTGGTGATAAACTCTGCAACTGCAGCCAAGAATCACTGGTTTTTATACTCCCTGCTGTTGACACACTCAAATGACTATTTAAATTACATCCGTTCTACCAGTCATTCCCTTATTTTCTCTTTTCCCTTCTGATTCACATGCCAGCAACAGGAAGTATCTCTTTCTCACTTTCAGAACTGTGTAAGTGTGGTGGCTGACGTATCGGAGCAAGAGAAGGAAAAGATTAATAGCTGGTGCTGATATAAGCAAAATAATTTTATATTGTCTTTTCTATTGACTTTACTATCAGAATTCTGGGATTAAAGTTAGAATTCTGACTTTAAACCTAATTCTAAAATTAATTCAGAATTCTAATTTGGAATTTTCAGTTTAAAGCCAGAATTCTGAGAAAAAAAAGTCTGAACTAAATCCTCTTCCATATTTAAATATCTGTATCAAACCCGCACTGAAAATTTCAAGTTTTCTATAACATTTGAATTTTTGATTCTTGCATTTTTGACCCAGTCTCTTTTCATTTTCCGCATGGACAGCACTCATTTGAACCAAAAAAATTAACATCTTAGTACCTTTCTTCTTTGTTGATCTGGTCTCCAAACCCAACAGTGTGCACAATGGTGAGCTTGAGGTTGACATTGCTCTCCTGCAGATCATATGTTTGGGGGCGCAGATGTACCTCACTCTCATAGTGGCTGGCTTCGTCATTTTCAAATGTTGTATTGAAAAGTGTGTTCATTAATGTTGATTTTCCTATTCCTGTCTCACCTGACAAAAACATATAAATGACATGGTGAACAGAGATGATGAATGAATAGTGCAAATTCAAAATGATCCTATGTTTCAATAACATTGCTAATTCTTCAGATTACGAACTCTTCATTTGTTCAGACATACCTACACAGAGGATGTTGAAACAGAATCCGTGCGCAACAGATCTGCTGACCAGCTGATCTGGAAGACTGTCAAACCCCACATGGCCTCCAAGCTCCAGGTTTCGCTTATCCTCATTCTGAAGTATTTGGAAATAGGTAGGGATGTATTAGAAGCTACTTGATGGATGGATGGATGGTCAGATGTCAGAGGAAACAACAATGACAACAAAAAGTCTTTGAAATTGAGAGGTGACTTTCTGCCACAACCTTTCAATCTTAAAAATCAGTATTTGTAAATGAGGTAATCTTTCTCTTTATCTTAACACACTCAACAGTCAGACCTATAAAAAGATTTGCCAACTACCAGGCTGTCTGGATTTTCCATGTAAATTAATAGAACACTGAAAATGCAATAGGATGTGTAAAGCTGTGTAACTACATATAATGTATTTTGCCCTGGCTGTAGAAGCTGAGAATTGGTTCATCTGCCATAAACAGACCCTGGGATACTGGCATCTTGCAAAAGGCTCAACATGAGGACTAGGATGTGCTCAATACAACAGTCATCCGTTTCTGTCCCTCTCTTTTCTCACACACACTCAGACACACACACAAAGAGCCCTTTATCTAGATGTTATTTCACCAGGATGGGAAGACATCCAAGTTGCTGGCTGCCCTGGTACCCATACCCCCTTTACAATTAGACAAACACACAGTTCCATACATATATCTTTTGTAATGCAGCCTGTATTATTAGACTAAATGCCAGACACCTAAGGTACTATGGCCTTTAAATTAACACACCATCACAGGCTACACGTTTTTCTGATATTCAGACTTTTCTCTGGTGAAGGAGCTAGTAGCAACACTTGGAGAAGCTACTCCTCTTAACTTAGTCTTTTACTGCCTGCTGCCCCGCTGTTAATTCAGCACCCGTGCACACACCTGTCAGAGATGCTGACATAGTTAACAGCAAAATGTTGATGCACAGGCTTCGTGTTGTTTCATGCTGGACGTGCTCGGATGCTGAAATGCAGCTTATCTGCATGTCACCACAGAATGTTCTTCAAAACGGGCCGCCGATGCATCGTTCCTATAGAATCAACAGTGACGTAGATGATAACCCATCTTCATCTCGATTCGTAAAGTCATAAGCTTCTTCACCGCAGCAACGTTGCTGCATTGTCGCCACACTCCCATTGCCATCACCTCGCTCTTAACACGCACCTGAATGCACGCAGCTAGTTATTTATAGTCGGAGGACGCATGCGGTTGCAGACAGTAGATCATCATACTTACTGCGGAAACATCCATCTCGTTGGCCGCCATGGTCGCAAGAATGATGTGTCTTCGGCTTGACCTGCTCTGCACATCACACAACACTCGCACTCCTTTCAATATGGCCAGATAGAGGCAACACCCCCTCGGTGCTGGAGGGCGACATTACAACAGCTAGACAGCTGCCTTACTCTACTTTGGGAGGACTTTAGTGAAAGCTCCACGGATTTTTTTTAAGTTAGGAATTATTCTGGTAAGTAGGACATGCCCCGGGTTTGCAGCTGCTGCCTCGGGAAACGGCAAGCTGTCACTAGAGTAGGATAATAGCTTACTATCCGACAGTTTCACCAGATTTGTCTTCTTTTATCAACAAAACAGATATAGTGCATGTCCCAGGGCTGTCACACATCTGGATTCCCAGAACACCAGAATTTCACAAAATCATTTCATTTCAGTTGGACACCAGCGAAACTTAACTACAAAGCAGCTTGATCTTGATGTATTTGTACTTTAGTTGACTGTTTCCATTTCCATGACAGCTTTATCTCATAGCCTACTTCTTCACAGTACAGATGTGTTCGTTTAGCTTACACCGAAACGCGTGGTTTTGCTGTGATATGTTTAAATAATGTTAATGAAATATTTTTCTAAGCCTTCAGCCTGCTTGTAAACGAGTAGGCTACTCAGCTTGGTCACAACATTTAAGATGACTGTTTTTAAAAATGTATGCATATATAATATAATATTGCTTATTGGACGGACCCTAAACCTAGGTTTTAACTGTAGTAATGTTTTAACTACAGCTTTAGTTAAACATTACTACAAAATTATAAAGAAGTAAAACTAGTGTTATTATAGATGTATGCATCATAAAAACACAAGTCCTGGTGTTAAACTAAAAACAAGCTATAGACTAACAGCCATGCAGTTTTTGTAGACTATGGTCCTTTTTATCTCTAGATGTGGGTAGCCTAAATACGGGTTACAAATATAGAGGTTTGATGATGATCATGAGACAACCATGAGACAGCCCGTCAGTCTGCACGGCCCCCCTCCTCTTGCCTGCATTTTAAATGGGAAGCGGCAGGTTGGAGGACAACAGACAGGGAGAGAGGGGCGCTCGGACACCGAGGAGATTATTCCTCAGAATTCCTGTCTGTTACATCCTTACATGCTTTTGTCCCGGCAGGACAAAATGACTTTGACCCAAGAATCCATATTGTCTTTTCTACTGGAGCGCGGAGGCAAAGTGAAGAACTCGGAGCTGCTGAACAGTTTCATGGGTCAAATCAACTGCAGTGATCCCGCGGAAAAGCAGCACAACAGGGACCTTTTCAAGAAGTTGGTGAACAGCGTCGCTGTGGTCAAACAGATCAACGAGGTGAAGTTTGTAGTTGTGAAGAAAAGGTATCAAGACTTTGTGAAAGATTTTGCACATGATGGCTCGCAGAAAACGCAAATGGATGACAGTTTCTCAAGCCAGCATGCGAGTCTTTCGTACACATCTCCCCATCAAGCCGACACAGCCGGCAGGATTTATTCAGACATGGAAAACACTGAATGCTATCCACCAATCATGAGTAGCAAATATTACGGCGATGTTACACAGATGCCTGTGGGAAACATGCAGAACAGCAGGGCGTTATCTAAAAGCCTTAGTAGTGCGGATACAACCACTGTCAAAGTCCTGAATATCTCCGGAGATCAAACGAGCAGAACGCGGAGATCTGGGGCTGTGTTTGCTGTCATAGCGGTAAAATCCCCACCGAGAGACCCCGCACCAGAACCACAGGATGGTTTACATTCCCAGGTGAATCAGCATCGAACCTCAGACAAACCAACTACGCAGGAAAGTAAAGTTTCTACAGCACCGGTGCCAACTCTCAGTTCTACCTTTGCAGCTTGTAAGGATGCATTATTAAGTGGCACACAGTGTGGGATCACCAGGCAAACAGAGGACAAGCAACCCCCAGGCTTTCCCCAGGCGGGGCCCCAAAACAAGACCACAAGACAGACAGATGATATCAAGTACTCGGAGTCTGTACCTTTGGAGCCAATGGCTCATGAGTGGTTGGTAAAGTGTGCGGCTGGGCAGTGGGGACAAGTCTGTGCTTTGTTGTTGCTGGACACTCGTTTAGCACAGAAGAAAGACTTCATGTCAGGTTTCACTGCACTACACTGGGCCGCCAAGGAGGGCAACAGTAACATGATACACAAGCTCATAGGTATCTGCAGGAACAGAGGCACTTACATTAACATTAACAGCAAAGCACATGGGGGATACACACCTTTGCATATCGCAGCCATACACGGCCACACTGAGGTTTTGATTTTGCTTGTGCAAGGTTATGGAGCCAATGCTAATGAAAGAGATAATGACGGCAAGAAGGCCTTCCACTACCTGGGCGATGGTGTGTCAGCTGAGATCAGAGCACTTCTGGGAGGACTGGAACAGAGCAAGCACAAGGAGAAAAGTGACGATGAAGAATACAGAGAGCACACAAAAGGCTTCAACACTATTAGCAAACTGTTCCAGCCTCACTTGGGGAAGAAGCAAAAGGCAGCAACAAAGTTTGCTCATGAGTGGTATGAATAATGGATCACATCAGAAGATGTGAGATGGACAATATTAAAACTGTAATACTGTCTTAAAACAACTTAACTGAGCTGTCAATAACTTAAAATGTATAAATGAATTATAAATGTGTAGTCTGTCAGTATAGAACACTCTAGCTGTCCTGGGCACTGTATCATTGTTGGATGTACTATTTATTAATAGTATTTATAACAGAATCATTTGTTTTTGTTGACTTCCATGTATTAACTAAGAGTGTTATTTTGCACCCACTGTACATGTGTACATGTTTTCATTAACCAATCTTTTGTAATAAATCTTTTTAAATTCTTGATGGCTTCAAATGAGGAAATATGAAAACAGACCACACCCTAGAAACGGTTACCGTCACTGTTGTGGAACATGACATTGTAGTGTTGATATAGAAAACACTGCACAACATCTGACCAGACCAGTTACAGCGCAGAGAAAACATTTGATACTGTTAAACTGATAAAGGCCATGGGACATTTTAACATTTTGTAAGAGCTACCTCTCAACTTCAATAAAAGAAAAAGGGGCCTTTGGGGTGGCAAATATGCAAAGTAGGCAACAGCCAGGGTGGTGGAATGTCTGCTTTATCAGTTTCTTTGTTAACTTGTGCTTGTGTGGATGAGGCCTATTTTTATGGGACATTAGGGCACCATTTCTGTTGTGGTAAGAAAACAACACAAGTCGCAGCTCCAAGACTACACAGGACTCACTGATTTTTAGAAATGAATATTGCCAAATACAAGTAGACAACAATTTCCTAATTTGTTAATAGAATCTATGGTTACATTATAGGATCTTGTTTCCAGAGGGGTTCAGATTATTGAAGTACAAACACAAATGGTTGCAGCTACTCTTAACATTTGTCAAATTTGATAACTTGACCTAAACATGGCAGTTAGATTAACAACACAGCTACACCTATGCTAACAAGCTATTCAAAAGCATTTTAACATTCATGCTGTCATGGATTCACTTCTTTTCCCAGCTCAGACATGCATGGAAACAGTATTCAGTTTTGTTTCTATCCAAATCTGACCCAGAAGAAAACAATCACTGCTGACATGAAGAGTTTGTGCTCAGACAATGAAGCCACAGGGAGAACAATGCCAGAAGAATGACCCTTGTCTTCGTTATCTAGAAAAGAAGCAGCATGCACAATGATCCTGACAAAGGACATCTGTAATCACAGCAACTATTCAACATAGTAGACTGCACTATATTTTTATCCCACTTCAAAACACTTTTTCAAACATTGCAAGAGACCTAAATGAAAAGAAAATCTACCTTTGAAATGCTCAGTGTCTAATCTTGAATGGTTCAGACAAAACTTTCAGCTCTCTCCAACAATAATGTGAGGTAGACCTGGTATTGTATAATTTCCTGTTTGTACAAACTTCAATACCTGGTTCACTGACATTGATGTAAAACAGGGTAATAAACTGATTAGTAGGCTACATGATGTATTTCATTTTTGCATTATGTGTATAAACTGGGACAGATGTGCAACTTACAGTCAAAGCTGCTACTGGTCCCTGAAAGTTAAAACTACACTCTAAAATATGAAGGTGCTTGTTGACACCAGTAACATGTTGCTATTTCAACACCTTTAAAAGTAATGGGACTGAAACTTGTCCTGTAGATGATATTAAAGGAAAACAATAAGGTCAACAAAACCCCTAAAAATCAATCAGCCAATTAAATAAATGGTAATGTTATCTAACGCTTTCTTAGCAGCCATTGTGCAAAAAAGCAATATGCTGAAAAAGGAGGGTACATTGAATTTTACTGATGTTTAAAAACAAAGTAAGGCAGCAAAACCTTTATAGCAAACACAAATGCTCTCTGTGGAGATGCTGTCTAATCAGCGGCCACAACGTGCCCACTGATTACAAGTTTCCAGACAATGAAGGCGATGCTACACAACATGGCTTCAAATTGTACAAAATCTGACCAGTGCTGAGCAAACCAACTCTACTGGGTCCTTTGTTCAAAGTACTTCTAAATATTTTGAGTTTATTTCAAATGAAGTGACCTGGTAGATAGATCAATGTCATGTCCTTTTAATTTAATTTGCCATTAATTTTTCCACCATCACTTTGTATGTTTAATGGATGTGTTCAATAAAAGACATGAAAGATCACGACTGTGTTTTATCAACTTACAAATAGTGCTTTTTGAAATTTGTGACTTTGGTGAAGATCAGATCACATTTCATGACCAACTTATAGCTAAATTTTATTGCTTCCTATTAACCGAAACTTCATCATTTGTCAGAATCACTTGTCTGTGGCGGGGCCCAAACTGTTCATGTACACAATACTCTGCATTTCCACCTGTACACCAGTGGGCAGCTGCTTCCATTCTACAAAATCACAATCAGACTTCCTCCAAAGCAGAACGGCCAGACACTCTATGTAAAGAAATGGTTGGCAAAAAGAACATATTTCAAGCCAAAAAGACCCAGACATTTTAGAAAACAGTGGTTAAACATGAATGAACACTGGTCCAAGTTGTTCTGTTTATGTTGATAGCTCTGTTTAGCCATATGATAAGGTACTGTTGCTGCTTGTTTTGGGGGTAGCCATATAGGCTACTTTCTGCCCTCTAGTGACCAGTGACTTTACAATTTACTGATGTCTGTATTCTGGATGAACATGACATATTGTTGAGAATAAATGAAACCATGGGCTACTTGTTTTCAGTGAACAATCACACCTGGTGGGAAATCATTCACTTTTACAAATAAAATGCCATTAACACTAAACACAGACTAATAATTCAAGTTAACAATGACAATTGATTTAAAGTTTTATATTGATGAAAATAACCATTAATCTAATATACACATAACCAAAATTAGTAGCGGTGGATGAATTGGTCATCCCTGTTATCGTTAGCTAGTTCTAACTTCTAGTAGGGCCTATAGGCGTTAGCTATACGTTAGCTATAGCCTACTTAATTTATTTTAAGAAGTTCCCAGCAAACAATAACTTCCCATTTACACCTTTAAATAGTTAGTTGATAATTAAAGTCAACGCCAAAAACCTACTACCACAATTCAAAGTGGTGAACTTCAAATATCCTTCAGTGGTGAATTATTGGTGGCTGCCTTTCAAAATAAAAGTGCAAACTATGTCGTCATAAAACCCCTTATTTTTTTAATCCCCTGTGCATAATAAGCCTATTGTGCACCTATGTGGACAATAGGCTAGAAAAGAAAGCAGATTTTTTTTAAATAGAGGATGAATCTACAAATTTTTGTTTTGTTTAGTATGTGCACCAATTTCACTCTGAATCTCAATTTTAATCCGACTGTGAATACAGTTGGAAGCGTAGGACTACTTAATATTTTGAGTGCCACATAGCCTTGACGTCATTAGCCGACGAGAATCGGGGTACACAAGGATATTGTTTGGTTCAACTTAAATATGTGTCTCATTTAAAACTAGCCTATTGCTGTTTTCATGGCAGAACAAGTCATAAATTCTCTGGTAGGCTTGACAGGCTATCTTTAGCCTACCGGAAAAAGTCACACGAGTTAGAGTTGATTGCCAACACCTGCGCGTGTTGACCAGCTGCTGCACGAGTGTGGTCCTGTCGGGCTCTCGTCGGAGAGTCTCCTTACGTTTTGACTGGTTTCGTCGTTTATCATGGAAACACAAATGCTGATGTCAGTTGTCTTACGTTTTTTTCGCACGGTCATCTTCCTGCTGCTGGTCACCTGCAGCTGTCCGCTGGTTAGATCCCCTCCGGCCGCCACCAATGAGCTGGGCGACTTCACAGACCCATACAGCAGCATCTTCTCTCCGCTGCTCAAAGCTCTGTCAGAGCACGGAAGGTCGAGATGGAACCCAGGGCAGAAGAAGAAGATGAAACCCGAGCAAAGGTACATGACATTTCTGACAGAAGTTTACAAGAAGTCCTCCAGAGTGCAGAGGAGTGTCGACGGGGATAAAATCTACAACACACTCCGACTGATCAAGCCACAAGATGAATGCCTTGCACATAGGAGTAAAGGTGAGCAAGTGAAGCCCAATAACAAGCCAGCTGCAGTGTTGACAGTATTATACAAGGTGTAATGCACATGCCATTCACATTTCTGGAGCTCGATCATATGATGGATTATTAAAATGTGCATTCCTCCTAAAACGTACCATAAAATGACACCTAAAGACGCATGTACAAAAAGTAAGTGTGATATAAAGCTGAAAATAATAATAATAATGATGGTGTTTTGGCCCAGAGTATATAGCACCATATTAGTAAAGGTAAGGAATGGATTAAAAAGTCACTTTTTCGAATATTTAGAGGGACAAGGCTGCATTAATAACTGCTCCTGGGGCCATGAAAGTTCCAGACTCACTTTGTGTTGATTTGTTATTGGAAATGTTAATAGTTTTTTGTTAAATTTGGGAAATGGGGCATTTTTAGATTATATTTAACCAAAGGCTACCATAGTAGCTAATGATATGGCTGTGTTTTGAATAGGATCCCAATGTCAAAATGTGATTTGAAAACCCTTATTAGTTGTGCATATAAAGTGCAAAAAAAAAAAACCCAAAACATTTCTTCACAGACTCTCAGAAACACATGGAGCAAGGTGGTACTTTTCCAACACAGCAGTGCAGTTGGGCAAATAATGAAGCTACAGCATGTAGTCTTCTAGTTGCACTATATCTTGACTTGGAGGCTGAGTACAGACACTGGTCAGCCATAACATTATGACCAATGGCAGGTGAAGTGAATAACACTGACTATCTGTCAGTATGTGGGGTACATTAGGCAGCAAGTGGACATTCAGTCCTCAAAGTTGATGTGTTGGAAGCAGGAAGAATGGACAAGTGAAAGGATCTGAGTAATTTTGACAAGGGCCAAACTGTGATGGTGAGATGACTGGATCAGAGTGTCTCCCACACTGCAGGTTTTGGTAGGTGTTCCTAGTCTGTGGTGGTTAGTACCTACCATTATGCGTGGAAGGGACACAACAGCAGTTTTTATCTTATTAGTTTGATAAATGCCATGGAGGACTTGCAGTGTTTAAATGAAAAACTGCTTGTCTTTGGGTCCTTCAAACAGATTTGACTAAAATGTGGCACAACCTCAGACAAAAACTTTAGTTCAATTAAGAGGAAAGCATTTCCAGTCAGAAGAGATATCCTATGATTTTTGGAAATAAGACAAAATATTTGTAAAATGATCAAATCTTTATGTTAGATAAAACATTGTTCCATCAGTGCAGAATAAATCTGAGCAATGTGTTATTTAAATAACCAAATAACTGGCTGTCTCATTGATTAATTATCCCAACAGTATAATTTGTCATATTTGCCTTTTTTTTTTACCAAGTTTTCATCATATTAAAATAGTTTTTAAAACTACAAAAGGTGCGGTGGATATAGAAAATAATTATTCCCTTTCAAAACATTCATATTTTGTTGTTTTATAGCCTCAAATGAAATCACAAAAACAGGAATTTTGGAGCTGTATTTATTCAGTGTAGCTTACAACGTATAGGTGAAAGAGGAAAAAGTATTCTGAGCAAAGTATGCTGTAAATAAAGCTGAAAATTTGGTTTTGTTTCATTTTAGACTGTGAAACAACACAATGGCAATGTTTTGAAAGGGGGTGGTTATTTTCTATACCCACTATTTTTAAAACTGTAGCTGAAGATGTTGTAAAACTTGAGTGCAAATTTGGCATTAAGTGGATACATTTGGTATTATATTTTAATGCATTTTATGAGTCTTACTTTTATAGAATGAGTGGGTCAGACTTTTTAGAGGGGAAAAATACGAGATCTCAAGGACTGATTTCATCAAAAAGGGCATTTTCACCTTTGTTGAGAAGTCATTCTGGCTTATTCAAAATTTGATTGTTCAAAGGCCACAAACATTTGTGCCATGACTCTTCCTTTATGAGACCGATGTAGTGTACAGTTGTCATTAATGCTTTCTTATTTTCTCTTTCAGAATCTTTTATGCAGGATCTTTCTTACAGCCTAGATCAAGTAAGAAGAAAAGAGCAACTTCTGAAGTCAGCCTTGCTGTACAGTTTTGACCACGATCACTCGGTGTGCTACCTGAGTATCAGGGAGCAGGAGCAGTTAAACCAGTGTCAGCTGTGTCCTGGAGTCCATCATGCTTTGAACTTTACAGCCAGAGTTGACAGCAGGAGGAGAAGGAACTGGATGGAGGTTGACGTCACCTCATTTCTCCAGCCTCTCTTAAAATTTCAGAGAAGGAATATTCACCTGCTCATCAACATCACCTGTCCAGAGGAACAAATGGCCAGGGGAGATGAGCAGAAAGGCCCACTGGAGTTCACGTTAAAGTCCCCTCCTCTGCTTCTTTATCTCAGTGACACCAGTAAAATCACCCATCAGAGGTTACAGGTCAATGGCAAAGCAGGCCAAAGGCCATCCACTGACACAAGCACTCTTCACAAGCAGATGGAGTTCAAACCTGAGAAGAGATTTGGACACAAGAGAAGGTGGAAGAGGGAATCTCCACAGAGCAAACAAGGTGAGAAAAGCCTGGATATCCACCTGCCTGAGCTTCTCCCAAGCTCTGAATTCCCAACAACTGACTGTGCCTTGTATGACTTCAGGGTGCGATTCAGCCAGCTCAAACTGGATCACTGGATTGTTTTTCCACCAAAGTACAACCCCAGATACTGCAGAGGCATCTGCCCAAGGACCATGGGCTTCATATATGGTTCACCTGTCCACACCATGGTGCAAACCATCATCTATGAGAAGCTTGACTCCTCTGTGCCCAGGCCATCATGCGTTCCCTCCCATTACAGTCCCCTGAGCGTCATGATCTTCGAAGAGGATGGCTCCTATGTTTACAAGGAGTTTGAAGACATGGTTGCCACCAGGTGCACATGTCGCTAAACCAGCTACGGACATGTGTATTTTCCCCCTCTATTACAGGCTGAAGAGAACATCACCACAAACCTCGTCAACAGTCATCACAGAAGGACTCTCGCTCTGAATGTCTCCTCATTATCCAAGAATCACATATTCTGACCAGGCTCAGTGATTTCATGAATTTATGAAATAGTTGTGTAAGATCTGGAGCAGGTGTGTTTACTTAAACAAAAAAAATATATTTTATCTTAATGAAAAGTGTGGGAATGTGATATTTATTTCCTTTTTGTTAAAACAAGAATGGGTGCAAACGCTTCCTGTTCTTGAACTTAATGTTTGCAATGTAATATTCAATTTGACACACTTGAAGGAGAAAATGTGTGATGTATGATTTTTGTTTGTTATTTTTGTTAACTTATTTTGGGTGTGTGGTCTGTTATTTTTCTTTAATTTAGCACAGTTGCCAAGTTTTAAGTAGCCCTGTTCTGGCCAAAAAGAAAAAGCTGTCACCAACTCTTATCAAACCTTTTACATAGTTTTATTCCTGGGGATTACGGACAGCTGTCTGAGTGGCAGCTGCCTTCATAATGTCCTGAATGAAAGTTGTCAAGGTTTCGGTATATATTTATTACTTCTAGTCACTGAGTGACTGCATACTTATGAATTGACTGCATACTTGTAACTTTGTACTGGTTGAATGTGACTAAATGCATGCCATGTCTATTTATGCCAATTGAATGAGTTCAGTGTGTGTCTGTACTGAGCATAGGGATAATGGGGAAAAAAAATATGTAGAGATGTAATCTGAAAAGATGGAAAATAAAAAAATTAGCAGGCATAAACGTTATCTTTGTCTGAATATGGCTCAGTGAAATGTTTATGCAGCATATGGAAAATGTTCAGTGAGAAACAGATTTTGATTTGGGATTTAGGGGTTAACTAATACTGACAAGTTCTTGCATTTAAAAGCCTATATAAGTGAAAGTGCAGAGTATTGTCAGTTAGTGTATTAAAAGTAGTAGTAATATGAGTACTTGCTTTGCAGAAAATCATCTGAAATGATACTGGTGCCCAGTGGTTCTGAATCCAGGGGTCAGGAGTTACAGGGGTCATGAGGTGGTTAATCAGTGTCGGGAAAGTTATTTTGAACACATGGCTTTGAAAGCTACCAGTTAAATTGGTTAACTAAAGCTACTTAGAAAAGTATTTCTAAGTACTTTGTAAAAAAAAAAAAGATCAGTGTGACAGTGTACATGTGATACAAGATAACAAAATAAAATATAATGCATATCATTCATGGCAGCAAAAAAATGTAACGTGCATGTTCAATCTCTTTCAAAGTAGCTTCCCGAAAACTGAAGACGTCAATAAATCCTCCAGCCCGGTAGGTGGCGATGACGCCCACAGTGTTAGATAAAAGCCCACAGGCTTAGATAAAAAGGACAACACCGGAACCTTATCAGGAAGCAGTTCAGAAGCATTGCGGTAAGCGTCAATGTCATGACTCTAATGGTGTAGCCTACGTTAATTAACTTTTACCTTTAAATTGTGTGAGGTATGTGTCAGGGTAGGTTCTTGGCTTTGATGTGATTTGATTTGATTAAATGACCACCACGTTTCAAGGGTTGTTAGGAGCTAGCTAGCAGCTAAAGCCTACTGAAGCTAGTTCTAGCACGTCTTGCGTCCTTTAAGGTTAATTTACTTATTAGGGTCGTTATTTCGCAGTGATTAACTATTTAAATAAATTGGCGTCTCTTGGGTTTAAGCTTTAAGTTTATCCTGTAAAGCAAGCATGCGTTCGCTTGTATGCGTACGTAGTTCTGTACGTTAGAGGGGGGTTGGGTGCATCTTTAAGACAAAGCATCTATTTTAATCAAATCTAGTTATTAACGTAGAAATATTGATACTTATTAAAATCATTGTCGTCATAGAAAGTCGTATTTAGTAGTCCCCTTTGTTCAGCTGGAAATAGTGGTAATTAAATAGAAAGTCGTATTTAGTAGTCTCCGTTGTTCAGCTGGAAATAGTGGTAATTAAACAATTATCCGAGTGATATTACTTTTACTAAGATGCACTGAAAAGACCTTTACCTCTTTCTAACAAGGTGCTCAGGATACAGTTTTATACAGCTTTGATTTGAAATATTTGCAATTAGTCCAAATCATAAAAACAAGCTTTTTAATGCGTATGGCTGCCTATTAATTATTTTTTTGTATATTTCTTTTTGTCCTTTCAGATCAGCTCTCCAGGGAACATGGGCCTCCACTTTGGAGACTTGGCCAGGATCAGGCATATAATCACATACAGTCTGTCCCCGTTTGAGCAGAGGGCTTTTGCCAACTACTTCTCCAAGGCAATCCCTAATGTATGGAGAAGGTTCAGATCCTCCGTCTTCAGAGTTGCCCCCCGTGAGTTTTTTCTTTAGTTTCCAGCATATCAGTATTTTACATTTAGGGAGAGCTGGCCCAGTCAGTACATATAAGTAGTAAAAATCTTGATTTTTAATCTGTTTTAAAATAGGATTCTGTAGTCTGTGTTTTGTAAACATTCTACGTGCTGTATTCGTGTGAAATTATGGAAAAAGTTACTTTAATTTTTGGTTGTTTGGAAAGTTAGATTATGCTTGTATAGCAGCTGAACTACTATAAATGAGCAGATGGAACAAAACTCACATTGAACTGTGATCGTGTTCTTATGTGGCAGCATTTTGTTTTGATTTTTTTGTATAGAATTTAAATTTTGCAAGTGTCATGAGCTGCACAAGTGCACAAAATCAAATGTAGTGTAAAGATCCTAGTTCTAATTTTTGTAACTTTCCTTTTTGCAGCTATGATTGTTGCATACGTGGTATATGAATGGGGCACCGCTGCCCATAAGCAGAGCAAGAGGAAGAATCCTGCTGACTATGAGAATGATGAATGAACTCCTGCCACCTTAATGAAAGCAGACCATTGTCATGGATTCCAACTCTTTATGTTTAACCAATAAAAATGTAAAATATTTGTCAAGTCAATCCTGATTGTCACTCAGCCACCTGTTCCTGACTGGATTAATGTTCAGTGAATATTGATTTGTTTTGTACTGTGGGTTGACCAAAACAAAAAAAAATGGAGGAAACATCATCTTGAGATCTGTGTAAGTGTGTGGGCATTCCTCTGACATATTTAATGGACAGATTCATTAGTAGTCAAAATGACTGCATAAATTGCAAACAATCCATAAATATAGGCGGTTCTATTTTGCAATAACTGTAATAAACATGAGTCCAACAAATGAAATCATGTTTAGGATAATATGCAAATAGGTATTTGCATTTATCTGCAGTGATCCTAGTAGTGGTAGTGAAGGCAACTTTTATGTTGAAGTAGGCAACAGGAAGTTGGAAAAATAGCGCTAGCTAGTTAAAAAATTATAATAAGTATAAGTGGATATGGTATAGTAATATTCATGGTAGTATTCCCATTTAAATAGTCGCTTTAAGTTTATATTTACGACCTAACCTGTCGCTGTAATTACTATTTCTGGCCCGTGGGTGGTGCATTGTCTTCGGGTGTAGTGTCTCTGCAGTACGTTGCTATTGGTCTGTGAGACAGACAGAAAATTCCTGAACGCTCTCACGCATCAGCCGGCGTATCTACCGCATGCTGCTGCTCAGCTTCATGGAACAAGAACAAGGGTGGATCACCGTCCGCTAACTAAAGCCCACTGTAGCTGCTGCTGTCACTTTTAGCACTGACCTAAATTGTTGTTCTTCCTTTCTATTGCTGCACGATAAACTCTTCAGTTATCTAGTGAAGATGGCAGTTGTCGGATTTGACGTCGGGTTCCTAAACTGCTATGTAGCGGTAGCCAGAGCCGGGGGTATTGAAACTGTCGCTAATGAATACAGCGATAGATGTACACCGTAAGTACGTTTAGTTACATTATTGTGTGTGGTTTTCTTTATGTTGTCTGCGCAAATAACAGGTAAGCAATGTTTTGTTTTGTTAATCTTATATTGAGTGAAGCTAACATTGCTAGCTACCTAGTTAGCATGCTAACAGATTTCACAACAGGAAACGGCATGTGATTGCTGTAGCTAATGCTAGCTGAAACAAAACCTTTGTTGAGTATAAAGAAGTCCCGGGACCACTTCACATGATGAAATGATGCTTGTGCTGTCTTACTGCAATTATATCGTCGAGATAATTCAAACATTCACTAATAATTGACCAGCTCAGTTAGGTTGTCTGATTTTTTTTACTGTAGGCATGAATGAGCGCATGATGGGAGGAGGCCGAATTCTAGCTGTCAAAACGGCATAACCAATCCATTGTACTTAATTTCAGACCCACAGTCCATAGAAGAAACCGATAAATGAGCTTTGAACATAAGTGCTTACAGTCATGACAAATAATTGGGTGAAATCATCATCCCTACGATCAATTCTCATTTTATTACTGGTTTTATCAACTTGCATCACTGTAAAAATTGTTGAAGAGAGAACTTAATCGCTTTTTTTGTTTGTTTTTAGAGCATATGTTTCTTTTGGACCCCGGAATCGATCAATTGGTGCAGCTGCAAAAAGCCAGGTATGTTTTTCAGAAAAGCAGTAGGACATTGGAAACAAAATTATTTATGTTAGCTATGTGGGACCAGTAGTGCATTATGTATATGAACATGAGGTACCTGGGTACTACACACATCCAATTCAGCACCAACAAAGAACAAGTTTACAAGTCATAAAGGTATGATTTCCTTGTGCATGTATTTAATTTGTTATTTTTCTCTTTTTCTGTCACAGGTCATCACAAACTTCAAGAACACAGTCCAAGGGTTCAAGAGGTTTCATGGCAGGGCGTTTTCAGACCCTTTTGTGCAGCGCCTCAAAAACAGCATGGTCTATGATGTTGCACAAATGCCTACAGGAACAGCAGGGATTAAGGTAAGAGAAAATTGACTAGGATTCACTTATACATTGATATGTAAGGTATTTAATGATGTGTAGATTATAATAACTACAGCTCAGACACACTGGATGTACTAAAATTCAATGACACTGTCATATTGAGAGATTTGTAATATCATTGGCATAGTAATGGTTTAAACACTGGGTTGTTTTGATTTCAGGACTGAGATAATAAAAAGAGACTGACTGCACCTGATACTCTATGGAAAGAGTACACTGAAAATAAATTTACTTATGTCACACAAACGTATAGCAAGAAGACAACTTAAAGATGCTATCAAAATGTTAATATAACAAAGATTTCAAAAGAGCAGCCATGTAAATTGTAATGTAGAGCATGATACAGTCCCATAAAGTCCTGTTCTGTCTGGATTTTATTTAGCTTTTAACGCCAACAAGTGCTAAAAAGCAACACTTTATTGCATCTATGATGCTGCACATGTGCTTCTTGAAATTGTGAAATGTCTGTGCCATCACAAGTTGAACTGATCTTCAAATGTAGTGATAAGGGATGCTGTTAAGACTGACTGAGAGACACGTACCTGAAAACAGGCAAAGTTAAATGAAGCTAATAAGTCAAACTGCATATGTGGAAACATGATTTTTTGGGTGTGTTAAATCGTCCATTTTTTAACATTTGGCCAGAGGTTGTGGTAGATGGTTATGCTTTATCAACCCACTATCATTCAGTCACTTGCCATGCAGAATACTAATTTTGAGTGGCATAGTAGAAGTCATCTAGAGCAATGTAATAATCTTCTCTTGTCTGACAATTTGTTACTAAAGGTGATGTACATGGAGGAGGAGAAGGTGTTCAGCATTGAACAGGTCACCGCCATGCTGCTGACTAAGCTGAAAGAGACCGCAGAGAATGCTCTGAAGAAGCCTGTGGCTGACTGTGTAATATCTGTAAGCACCAGCTGCTGCTGTTGTACAGTCTTTTGATACTGTCCTTGTATATTATGTGTAGGACTGCAAAATATGTGGTCTTTTTGCCAGTGTATAAAAGCTTCTTCACCCCCACAGGTGTTTTCACTTACATTGCCTGAGTAGACCTGTTATATAAGCACATACAGGTTGGTGACATCATGTCACTCCCAGCATAGCTCTAGAGGTCTAATTTGGCAGGTTAGTTGAAAACACTTGTCGGTGTGTAGGGTCTTTAAGCATAAAAAAAAAAAAAAAAAAAAAAAAAGGTTTCACCTGCTCTTCTGTTGTAACCAGGTTCCCTGTTACTACACTGATGCTGAGAGGAGATCAGTAGTAGATGCTGCTCAGATTGCTGGACTTAACTGCCTGAGGCTCATGAATGAGACAACTGCAGGTTTGTGCTGGAACGGGGCTTGAGCAAAGATGAGCACATCAGTGATTGTTGTACATTAGTCATCAACATTAGTCATAAAATGCAGACTTTGACACTGATTCCAGTAGTGCTTTACTTTTGTTAATAATCAAACAATTTTCTTTAACAGTTGCACTGGCATATGGGATCTATAAACAGGATCTGCCAGCTCCTGAGGAGAAGGCCAGGAATGTGGTGTTTGTGGACCTGGGCCATTCTGGATACCAGACATCAGTGTGTGCCTTTAACAAAGGCAAACTCAAGGTTGGTGTAAATCAACATACTGTATTTTCTTTACCTTAGTTCTGAGAAGCTTTGTTTCATTCTTGCATTCTCGCTCTCCCTTCTACCCTGTTGCTCAGGTCCTTGCTACAGCTTGTGACCCAGAGTTGGGAGGAAAGGACTTTGATGAGGCAGTGGTCAATTATTTCTGTGAGGAATTTGGCAAAAAGTACAAACTTGATGTGAAGTCGAAGCCCAGGGCTCTGGTCAGGCTCTACCAGGAGTGTGAGAAACTGAAAAAACTTATGAGCGCCAACTCTTCAGACCTGCCACTTAACATTGAGTGTTTCATGAATGACGTTGACGTCTCTGGAAAAATGAACAGGTTGGTCAACTGAACTCGCTTTTTGCTTTTACTGTTGCTGGTGTCGGTAAAGACCTAAATGGCAGTGGTGGGCAGTTGGGAGCATTTCTGGATGGATGTACCATCTTCAGCTTTTTTTTTTTTTTTTTTTTTTTTTACACAGACAAACTAAAAAATATTACACTTCTCGTATCAAGTAATAAAATGATGCACTCTTCTTGTGTAGCCATTTTGCTGGATGGGTGAATTATTGTATCTGCTAAGACGCACAGCAGTGACTACCTTGCATAATACTTACATGACCTGTGTCTGTGTAGCTTGCATAAAGTATGAAATAGGCCTTCCTTTAAGTCTTAAGTAATGTCTGCCTTTTTTTTCTTGCACAAGGGGCCAGTTTGAAGAAATGTGTGCTGGCGTTTTGGCCCGAGTAGAGCCCCCGCTGCAGCGTCTGCTGGAACTTACCAGTGAGTGTAAATTTGTCTTAACAGTTTGTTCACTCTCATTTGTATATTGTTTCTTTCCTAGTGACTCATATTTGTCCATTTCTAGTGTATGCATTAATGAAACTCTTTTTTTGTTCCATAAGAACTGAAAAAGGATGACATCTATGCAGTTGAAATAGTGGGTGGAGCTTCCAGGATCCCAGCTGTCAAAGAGAGAATCAGCAAATTCTTTGGGAAGGAGATAAGTACCACACTGAATGCTGATGAAGCTGTGGCCAGAGGATGTGCTCTGCAGGTGTGGTGCAGTCTTGTTTTAAATTTGGTCTCCATCCCTCCTATTGCTCAGTCCTGATATTAGATCTCTTGATATTGATGTGAACACAGAGTGAGATTTTATTTTTAAAAAATGATGAATACAGTGCCTGTTGAAACACTGTTTGTGTCTCCATAGTGTGCAATACTGTCCCCTGCCTTCAAAGTGCGTGAATTCTCCATCACAGACGTGGTTCCTTATCCCATCTCCTTGACGTGGCATTCTGCTGCAGAGGAAGGGGCCAGGTAAACACCTTGTTAAAAAAAAAAAAAATCCTTTCTCTTGTTTCCTACTGTCTTTGGCTTTGCTTATTGAACTTGAATTGTTATGGAATATTCATCTGTTGCAGTGATTGCGAGGTGTTTCCTAAAAACCATGCAGCACCTTTTTCCAAAGTGTTGACCTTCTACCGGAAAGAGCCTTTCTCTTTGGAGGCCTACTACAATTTCCCTAATGAGCTGCCCTATCCTGACACCACCATTGGTAAGCACTTAGAGGTTTCTAAGTGATGTTTGATCATTAGGGGAAAAAAAGCACTCCAAAACATGCTTGGCATAAATGTGACTAATGTATTATCTGCTTATCAAATTGGTACATATATTTGGTTTTGGTCATGACTTGTTTTGCTTACCCCCCCTACAGGTCGGTTTTTGATCCAGAAAGTTGTCCCACAGGCAACTGGGGAGAGCTCCAAGGTGAAAGTCAAGGTGCGGGTGAATATTCATGGTATCTTCAGTGTGTCCAGTGCCTCCCTGGTTGAAGTGCAGAAGTCTGACGAGACAGAGGAACCTATGGAAACTGAACAGGCCGGTGACAAAGACGGAGAGGTACCTCCGCCAAATGATGTCTCCCAGGTTAATATGTGTACTATTATTTATACTTACGTTTTGATTGGGGGAAAAAAAACATGCCTGGTTTTTATTACTACTCTTCAGAGCACGATGCAGACTGATCAGGATGAGCCGCATGAGCAGGGAGACTGTCAGAAAGAAACAGAAGAGAAGACGCCACGTGAGAATGAAGAGATGGAGGTAAAGGCAGTCCGTGTTTGTATAGAACATTATACAATATATTCCTTTTGGATTCGTATAATCCTAAATTCCTGTAATGCTCTTTTTAATTATCTTCATGTATCTAATTGGGGTTAGGCATTTCAAACACAATATGGTAGACTATAACACAATATATAATACGCTTATTAGACCCCGTAATGAAGAATTATATCGGCACCTCTCTGACAAAGTGCAAACATTGCATGTTTCGCAGAGGTAATGCACCGGATAACATTAGTTTGTGCAGATATTATAAGAATAAAGTAATAAGTAGTACGTAATAAGTAATATTGTGGAGTTTGTCTTATTCTCTGACCTTTTAGACAACAACAGAGGAAAACAAAGGCGAGAAGAAGTCCGACCAACCCCCACAAGCCAAAAAGGCCAAAGTTAAAACAAAAGTGCTGGATCTCCCAATTGAAAACAGTCCACAGTGGCAGCTAGCAGATGACATGCTCAATCTTTTTGTAGAGAATGAGGTAACTGAACTTTCAGCCATCACATACACACATAGCTACATCCACCCATCAACAGTTGTCATCTTTAATTACGTGATCTATTTTAAAGTGTTTGGCAGTTACAGTTGCTGTTTGGGTCCTCCTTAGGGTAAGATGATCATGCAGGACAGGCTGGAGAAGGAGAGGAATGATGCAAAGAATAATGTAGAAGAGTATGTGTATGACATGAGGGACAAACTTCATGGGATGCTGGAGAAGTTTGTCAGCGAATCTGTGAGTAAACAATCACTAGAGACTGAAAGAATCGATGTTTGTGGCTACACACAGTTGTACAATAGATTCCTTTATGTATTGCAAAATTATTTTTATACTTTTAGGACCGTGATGCTTTCACATTAAAGCTGGAGGACACTGAAACCTGGCTGTATGAAGATGGAGAGGACCAACCCAAACAGGTGTACATTGACAAACTGGCAGAGTTGAAGGTGATTATTCCAGTAGTACTTTCTTCTCCTCCTCTGTTAAGTGGCTGATATTCTTTTAACTAACATGAATGCTATGTTTACTGCAGAAACTGGGCCAGCCCATTCAGGAGAGGTATACAGAGGCTGAAGAGAGACCTAAAGCTTTTGACGAAATGGGGAAACAAATCCAGCAGTACATGAAATTTATTGAAGCATACAAAATGAAGGTAAAAGTAAAGCCTTTTTAAAGAAGAATTTGGCATTTTATTAGTTCTCACCCAATAACTGCCTATAACTTTTTTGTTTTTAGGATGAGCAGTATGACCATTTAGATGAGGCAGATGTCATGAAAGTGGACAAAATGGCCACTGAGACAATGATGTGGATGAACAGTGCCATGAACCAGCAGAGCAAACAGAGCTTGATGGTGGATCCCTCTGTCAAAGTCAAAGACATTAAAGCGAAGACAAGGGTGAGGGTCTGCAAGACATTATTGTAGTACCAGCGCAGTGAGAAATGTAATTGTAATGCAGGAAATTTAATATGGGCAGTCTCATACAAATGAAAGTTGCTGAACAGATCTAGCTATCTTAAGCAAAAGCATTTGGTTGCCACTGTTAAATTGTCAGGTCAAAGTATATTTGTATAGCCCAAGCACACAAATTGCAAATTTGCCTCTAGGGGCTTTACAGTCTGTACAGCATATGACACCCTCTGTCCATAGTCCCTCAAATCAGATAAGAAAAAACCAACTCTTTGACAGGGGAAACAAATAAGAAACCACAAGAAGACCAACAGAGAGACAGACAGGCATGCACTCTAATCTGAAACAAGTAACTTTGGTGCCTATGTTGCAAGGGCTAGTGCCAGTTGGTAGACCTTCCACATGGGTGTATTACCATTATTTAATTTTGTGATTGTTTTTTCTTCCAGGAACTGTTCTCCTCTTGTAACCCCATTGTGACCAAGCCCAAACCCAAGGTTGAGCTACCCAAGGAGGACACGCCTGCAGAGCAGAACGGCCCTGTCAACGCACAGGAGAAAGCCCAGGAAGAAACCGCAGACAAGGGAACAACCGAGGACACAGGCAACCCCACCTCAGACACTACAGAAAACAAGCCTGACATGGACCTTGATTAAAGCAGCATTAACAGCTCCGTAAGCAAATCTGAACAGGAGCTGGTTGCTTCAGACCTAGATGCAGCCCAGGTGTACGTACTATATAGGTGAAGTGTTTCAGGAACTGCCCTCCACAATCAGAAACGGGCAGGGTGATTAGCACACTGAACCCAGTTCCTGGTGGTACTTCTGTCTGATGACATAAGCAGGCCCTCTCTTTTTCTGGATGACATAAATCAAAAGCCAGCTGCAATAAGCCTGTTTGAAAATGAGCACTGTACACATGGTGGTATTTATTTCTATTGTGTGCTCTGTAAGTGTTCTGGTCTGTGTCACAATGTGGTTTTAATAAAGTTAATGAGAATCACTACAGTGTACCGTCTGTATTACTTTGGTCAAAAATTCCCAAGGCTCCCTGAAGGTATTGCATTTGTTTTTACAGCTAGCATGTGGTGGACAGGAGTTACTTTTCCACTATTAAACATACTACATGTTAGGTTTTTAAATTGCCGGTTAATTATTAACTATTTGATTATTTCATTTTTGTTATAGAGACTTAGGATGTCAAACTTTAAACCAACAGTATGGACAAAACCTGGTTCAAGTTGAAGAGGCTTCTTAAGTGTAGTATTTGATGAAAAGCTGACATTGAAGACAGTAATATTAAAGACAAATGTAAGAATTTAATGTAATTGGATGTCTTTCAGGCAAACAAGCAGCAAGCAGGGCTGCGCCGACACTATACTGAGCACTAACGTGATGTACCGTAGATTATGGATATGTTGTTTACATATTAGCAGCAGAATCCAACATTAAACTGTTAGATTTTGAATAGGTTCAAGCTCACAAAAATAGCTGTGGACCATTTAAAACAGGCCCAGTCTGCTGCGGATGGAGCTGGTAGAAACTCCTCTGAAACTGCGCAGGAAGAAAATTGTTAAAATGTTGTAATTCCACACTCCAGTAGGTGGCAGTAATTCACCTTAGGCTGGCATGCAAAC